TTTTATGTGTGCTTAAAGATGTAGTCATGTATTAAATGCCTTAATAATGCTGTGCAGCCATCACCATCAAACGTCTCCATAACCCTTTCGTTTCCTGGAGCTGCAGCATGATTTTCATTGAACATTGACCCTCCATATCCCCCTCTCTCCAGCTCCAGCAGCCACCGTTCACCTGTCGGTGACTTCGACTACTCTCAGTATATACGCAAAAGAATTGAAAACAATGTCAGAAAGGGATATTTGCATACTCATGTTCACAGCAACATTGTTCACAATAGGTAAATCATAGGCGCAACCCCAGTGTCCATCCATGGGCACATAAGCAAAATTGGTGTATACATACAATATAATACTACACAGCCTTAAAAAAGAAGGAAATCCTGACACCTGCTACAACATGAACGAACCCTGAGGATGTTATGCTGAGTGAAATAAGCCATATACTTATTTTTTAAACTTATCTTTACTTTTTTTCACACTCTCAAAACACTGTTTTAGATATTATCATAATGTAAAACTTTGTCTTGCCAGCAGGGAACATAATTTATTCAGTTCTGTGGGATGTAAGTTATGATTTATAAGTATCTAAGAAGATACTTTCTCTCCTTTGAATTTTTGGAATTACATATTAAACTTAAATATCCAAAACTTTCCCTACTTCTGAGCCTGCAGCTGTATTTTCCTTAGTAGGAAAATAGTTTTATTTGAATTTTTTAAAATCCTACTTTAGAAGTTAAATCATTTTAACACGTCATTTGCTTTTTTAATTTTAGTGGCATGATTCTAATAACTTTGTCTCTTTTTTAAATTCAGAGTGGACTAATCTTTTTGTTTTTTTAAGAGATGTATTGATATTTACCTGGTATGAGATGGGATGGAAATGAAACCTGTTTAATTCAGATTGACACGTTGCTTACTTAATGCTAATTGCTAAGTGCTCATATACATATAGAAAACACAAAGAGCTTTGAGGTTAAGAATCAGTATTTGTAGTCACGGGTTGGTTCTGCTACCTTCCTTTGTGCCTTTGAGAAAGATAAAACAACTGCAAAGATTTAGTGTTCAAACATACACAAAGTAGTTTGCCAAATTTTGCTTACATGTACAATTTATTATTTTAAAAGACTTTATTTCATTTGATTTCATGAAGCCATTTCGAAGCAAGAAGATGGTGGTGATACCTTGGGCAAGGTGCTGACAGCTCTGACTTCTGGTTCTGCATCTGAAGGCTGCTTTTCCTAGCAGCCAGTATTTACTCACACGTGCAGGCGTTGTGCCGAACATCTTAGATACGTTATTCTATGTAGTTCCTACATGAAACTTATGTGGTAAATATTACTTTCTCATTTCACAGGTGAGGAGCTGGGGTGCAGGAAAGTAGGTCACTTCCTCAAGGTCATACAACTCAAATTCAGGGTGTTAAAGGGACTGTCAGGCTTGGAGTAAGTGTTCAAGAAGACACTATATATTATTGTTGATGCTGTTGTAAAACAAACCAAAGCGCCTTCAGATCAGACTTGGTTTCTAAATAGTCTGTGAGCTTCAGATTAAATCCTGCTTCAGATAGCTGTTGCGCAAATCTGATTCCAGAATTCTAAACTGAAATTTCAAAGATAATAAACAACTTGAAGAGAGGCAACCATGTCTTTTAGTTTTCTTTTATATTCTGTAACTCTTAGAATAATGTACAGTTGAAAAAAAATAGTATGCGTTTGATAAATACTTGTTTCTTGTTACGAATTTTTCTTGAAAGAACAAATGTGGATATGTTTGTAAATAAAAAATAGCCATTTTACTGAAAAGTATTTCATTTCCTCTAAGGGCTAATTCTTCCATTGTTTTTCTTTTTAAAAGTTGCCCTTGAAGGGTAATTTTAGGACTTTCATTCAAAGAGCCTTTTGTCTTCATACTGGTGTAAGGAAAAAAATGAGAATGCTATAGAGAAGGCTGACCTCTCAAGAATTTTTGTGTGGGGAATTACTAGGCATGAAAGTTCATAAACCACTTCTCTCCATTTTATTTTCTGTGTATTTCCAATAAGCTATACTTTTAGTCAGTAAAAATTGTCAACTTTTTTTTTTTTATACAGGCCAAATTCCATTCTCTAAACTCAGCATTCATAGGACATAATGAAGTCTAAATTCAACCCAAAACTGAATGTATTTTAATAAAGATTGTCTAGTTTATTTGTGGCTCAGTTTATCTCAAAACATTCTTTAATGATAACAAATTTTATAACCAAACCTATGATGTATATCCTAGTTCTAAGAAATAACATGGATAGTTTTACTCTGATTATAACAGTAATGTATCTGACATACCAATAAACCTTTCTTCATTAGAATATAATTCTGTGCTATTTTATTAAATTATTTACATTTGGAGAAAATCTTTCTTAGGAACTTAAAATTCTGCTGTTTTATCACAGAAGTAACTTATAAACTAGTTTGTTTAAAAGTAGTAATTAAAAAGTGCAAAGAAGAGACTCAAATGGATGAGAATGAGGTAATTTTCTTCATTATCTTCCTGTGCTGGGTCAGGATTTTTTTTCTTTTCTAAGATTTTTAGAACTGTGATACTTTGGTCTACTCTGAATCTTTGTCTTTTGTTCACTGTTGCTTCCAAGGGCCTGGCACAGTGCTTGGCTCACAGTAGGTCTCAAGTATTTGTTGAATGAGAGAATAGAGGGGGTCTTGTTCGAATCTGGGCATTTTCAGTGTGTATCTTGCTTTTTTACTTACAACATAAATTGTGAGAGTTGGTGGTTACCCACTAGAGGTTGCCTCATCTACTAGACTCTGTATTATAGTACGCTGTTCTTTATAGTTACGACTGTGCTTTGGTGATGGTAAGGAGGAAAGAACTTAAAGGCTGAGAAAATAGTAAATTAGTGGTTGCCTGGGGCTGGGGTTGGAGGTGAGGAAAAAAAATGACTGCAAATGAGCAAGAGGGACCTTTTTCAGGGAAGGAAATGGCCTACAATTGGATCATGGTGATTGCTGTGCAGCCTGGTACACTTATTAAAATGAGTGGATTTTATGGTATGTAAGCTGCGCCTCAGTGAAACTGTTCAAAAAATAAAGCCAGACTGGGAGTTTAAAATTTTCAGTGATGTAATTCTTTTATTTCTTACTTTGGATATGACTTGTTGATAGATAATGACTGATTTTTCTAGAACCAGTTTTTCTGTAAAGAAATTCAAGGCAGAGAAATCTTCATCTTAGTGTCTAGTAAAGTACTTTCTTTTGTGTTAATCAGCTTGGAATTTATAACCTCTTAATATAAAACATCTTGTTTCATCTAATTTTCTTACCCTCTTTTAGGATATTTCCAGAGCTATAAACAAGAATAGGTGTCAGCTAGTCTACTTTACTGATAGTGTGTTTATACTAACTTACAGAGTTAGAAAACCTTATTTTTTTCCCTTCATCTTTCTAAAACTTTGGTTTAACTTATCTAGGTAGCTTTGTTCTCACTTTTTTAAGCAATTTATTTTTGGACCCTTCCTCCCAATATATTATCCTCTGTCTTTTTGGGGGACGGGGGAGGGTTAGGAGATATATTTTAAAATTGTTGGAAGAAAACCTTTTTCCATAAAATGGTATTCTAATTTACATTTCTGTAGATATCTTAACGATATTCTGTATGTGTCTCCTCCAAGGGAGTATAGCCCCTTTGAAACTTGAAAAATTATTTATAAAAGGTCTTCTATAGTCAAAGGCCAAATAAATAAAGATCTAATAGAGGTCATTTAACTATACCAATATCAACAATATCCCTAATCATATCAAGCATTGGCAAGAAAGAGGACCTAGAGACTTTGTTTGTTTGTGGTTTTTTTGAAATTTTTATAAGTGTTTATTTGAGCCAAACTGACCACATATACTGGGAACCAGATCTCAAATGCTCCTAGAGACATTGTTATAATTAAAAAGGCACTTGGAATTTAATAATTAATTGAGGTGGCTTGCTTTCCCTTTAGTTAGATCTTTATGTACTTATTCTGTGGCTCGAAACTATTAGATGATGCTAAAAGTTGTTGTTACTATGATAATTGATATATAGTGCTTGCTGAATACTGGTATATAGTGCTTGCTGAATACTGGGCACTGTTATAAAGGCTTTTCATATAGTAGCTTATTTAATTTCACAATAACCATGTGAAGTTTGGACTATACCATCCTCATTTAACAGATAAGGAAAATAAGTCACACAGAACAAGGTCACACTGCTCAACAAAACCAGGCAGATGTTGCTAATTACCACTATACCATAATGAAAGAGCTGTTCCCTTTTCTTTTTTTCAAAAGAAAAAAAAATTCTTTATCTTGAAAAAATTAAAAAATACTTAGTATAAGAAAAATGAGAATCCTTTACTGCTAGAAGAAGAAATATGTTCTTCGCTCGTCTTTATTATTTTTATTTTTATCTTGTTTCCATTTGTTTTTATGTTCTATATTTATATTTTTGTTATTTTTATGAATCAGTGTTAGTCTGATTACTCATGCTTTTTCATATAGTGCTAGGCTGATAGTTCAGACAGTGTTATTTGAATTCAGTCACAAAATCTTTTATTAGGATACATGTCTGATAGTTTAATCAGTTGTCTGGATTGATTGAACGTTTCCATGGCAGATCTTTAAGCTTTACCTGCAGCTTAAAAGATATGGAGTGTAAATGCACTTGATATTCTATGTGCCTTTTCTGAAATCTGTATCATAACTCAAAATGTGAATTCTAATTTCACAGAACGCTTATGGTTCTTGATTAACTGATGTAAGTATTGATGTAAATAAGAAATATTTTAATGAACTGATCTGTTTCATTAAGCTCATGGTTTTATAATATTTTATTGATTAAAACCAAAAATGTTTGTAAACATTCTGATGAGATTATTATACAAGTTGTCTCTCACAGTATGGATATGTTTTTTGAGGAAAAGTTCAGGTACTTTTTAATTATTTATCCCTCTTCCTTTTTTATTATATTTTATATTTTAGGATTTTGGTCCCCAACAGTAATTATCAAGATGTTGAGACCCTCTATAACGTCTTAATCAAGTATGAGGTATGAGAAATATTTTTAAATGTTTAACGTATTTTCACCATAAACCAATTGTAATATAAATGAACATGGTGGGGTTCTAAAATGGGATGGAATGTTCTTTTATTGCTACCTGCTTTAAATTCCTGGGTGCCACAGAAGGTCCCAGTGACATAACGAGTTCAATTTTTTTTTTTTGTTCTCTAAGCAAAAACATGGAGTAGAATCCTACAATAATACACTTCCTACAACACAGAATTGTTTGTCATCAGGAGCTGTTGGCATTTTCAACAGGTGATCACTTCCTTGTGTGGAGCGTGGCATGTTTATCGTTCCTGCCCCTCCGATACTACCTGTCAGTAGCTTCCCTGGTCATAGGACACCCAGGGACATCCCACCCAGCTCCCCACCCTGGCTGGCTGCTGGGGAGGAGAAAACACCTCTGGTCAGGACCACTGATTGCTGAAAGGGAAGCTGTGATCTAATTTCCTCCGTGGCAGCGGTGTAGACCCTGGAGCCAGAGCTGTGGAGAGGCTCGTGTGTCTGGTAAATTAAGCTGCACGCTCTCCTCTTCCTGGCTGATCCTCGGGAAGTATTCTGCTGCGCTTCGCTTTCTGTTTACCTAAAACTCTACCAATTTTTCCATGTATTCTTTCTCTTCAAGTGTGCATGTGTATAATTTTTAAAACACTCTATTTGAAGGAATATGACGTATATTCCTATCTCACATTTCTTATGGAGTCAAACTCCTTTAAATGTGTTTCTTCACTCTTATTCCTGATTAGTTTTTTATTTAACTTTTTGTATGTGACACCTGACATTAAGAACCTAGTGATTAAGTGTTCAGTGTGGTTCAGCCACCTGTTAATTAACTAATGCTCTTCGAGGAGTTATTTAATTCTCTTTGTCTCAGTTTCTTCACCAGTAAAATGGGAATAATATCAATATATAAATTACAGTATTCTTTAAAACTAAGTAACTTAGTACACATATAGAAAGTGTTCCCAGAGTACGAGGCACAGAGTAAATGGTCAGTGGCACAGTGTTCACGTGTGCTTTTTAAAAAATCAGCCTTAATACTGGTTAACTGCATTATGTGATCAGGATGACTTCCTCATTTGAGATGATTCATATATATTTAATTATTTCATCATACTTTCTGAATTTCAAATTGAGTCATTCTAACATGAAATGTATTTGTGGAAATAACACAATAATTTTTAAATCACTTATCCTGGGAAAGTCTGAAACATAGTTCTTTTTAGGGCTTCCTGTTACTGAAACTTTGGGAGAAAATACGTAACCTTAGTTATAAGAATATGTGGAATTGATTTCCAGATTTTTTAAATCATTTCTCTTAGCAGAACTCTCTTTTTTATACCAATTACTATATTGGAGATACTTGTCTCATATATATCATAAGCAGTAATAGGACCATCTGAAGTTTTTAAGGTATTCGACCATTTTATACTCAGTCTTTGCCTTTTGTTCTTGAAGTTTTAAAAATTAAAAATAATATAGCCACTTTCTAATATTTGGCACTCATTGTAAGTAGTAAATGAATTAATTACACCAATGCCACAATCCACATTATAGTCAGAATTCTAATAATGTTTACTGACAAAGGCATCTTTTAACTCCATGTTCCCTAGGAATTAAAATTGTACACTTGAGCATAGAAATGATATTTAACAGTGTAATTTAAAGTTTCCCAACGTAATTGAAAAATGTTTTGAATCAAAATTAATGAATATGATGAAATAAGATATTTCAGGCTAGAATCTGTCTATAGGTCATTGATAATGCATTTCAGTTTTCCTTTTTAGTAGCAAATTGCCTTTTTTTTGTAATTCACCTGTGACTTGGAATAACATCACCCTTGTACCTCAGCTGTATTCTGGCGTAAGTGTCCAAATGTATGTGGATGACCACTTTTAAAACTAGAGTTGTCTAGACACTCATTTTTCTAAAAATCTACTAAAGGCCTAAGGAACTATTTTGTATTCATGTTATTATCAGGTTCAAAATCAGTCTTCAGAAGATTTTTCTCAGCATTCGATGGAAAAGAGGTGATTCCCTGCATCCTCTGATCAGACATCTGCAGTGTCGGTGGCATTTGCTCGCCTAAGTTTGATATATTATAGGTTCTGATATGTTGGGGCAATAGTGAAAAATATCAAAGGCCCTGAGACCAGAGCAGAACATGTAAAGAAGGAGGAATTGGACTGGTTAATTGTTTAATACATATTTTAGGACATTTTTTAGAAGGCACTTTTAATACAAATTATAAAGCACCTAAAAAGTTGATTATGATAAATTATGTACCAACCTAATACGTTCATTAAATATATTAAGTATTATATATAAATTAACAAATTTTAAGCAAAAATTTAGGATTATATACATTTAAAATGTTACATTTAAAAACTACATAGTTTTAACTTTGAATGAATGAAAAACATTTTCTACACAAATATGGTGAATTTCTTACTGAGGGAGCTCATGGAATTTTTGCAAATAAGCAAAACCCTTAACTCTGTAGAAGACTTTCATGATATGAATCTTTAAATTAGTGTTAATTAAATTATGATGGGGACATTTTTTCCACCAAAAAAAAAATGTATACCAACTAATAATACTTTAAATAAATTGAATAGAAGATGATGGTCTCATTTCATTTCCCTTTTACTAATTCATAATTTCTGAAAACTTTAGGCATTGTGCTCTTTGTTGAGTTATCTGACAAAGAGAATTTCCCTTTACAAATTTCTAGGTTCTTCCCTGCACAGAAGTAAACTGTAAACTAAATCAGTGGTAAGCCTCAAGAAATACAGAATTCTTTCACTATGTCCACTACATGTGTGCCACAACTAGTTTTTATGTGATAAAGGATATTTTCTATTATTTAAGTCCATAACATTTATGAATGTAAGCATGTTAAAGATTTAGACCTCAATAGTCTGAAAACTGCATTTCTTTAGAAAATGTCTATAAATCAAACATTTTCCTAAATGAACAGACATTGCCACATCATTTAAAACCTTTATGTTTAAATGAAAGTGAAGATGATTCAGTAATAACGTTTGGAAGGGTCAGCCATCATATTGCAATATTAGAGTTGAACATGACTTTTTCTTTCAGCTTGAATTTTTTCTCATGTTCAGGATATAAAGATGTGGCTGTTTCTTACTGCACTACCTGTGTGATCCCAAGTACATGCCAGCCCTTTAAGTTTTTCGTTATTTTAAATTTTATTTTTTTATAATTCATTTATTTTGTCTGGAAAATAAATACTTAAAATTAGAACTATTTTAAGAGGCTAGGCTAACTGAAGCATGAATCAGTTGCATGGAGTATGTTTAGTTTTTGTTTGTTTTTGTCCATTTGATATACAAAGTGATTGTCTGCTTTGTTGAGACTATCAGTAACCCCAGGCCCATCTCACTTCTGGTTCTGTGAACAGATTAGGTTTTAGCAATAGTTGTAATGTTTTCACACGTAGTTCAGTGTTAGCAATATGGTCACTGAACTTCTGATTTCCACTTTTCTCTCCCTTTTATGCAAAACGAGAAACTTGACTTTCTGGTCCCTCAGAATAGGGGCCACTCTAATTGTGCCCTTATTACTCGTGTGATTTAATATACATTTTTAATAACTGTATCTTTGTTCTTTTCAGGTAAATGAGAGTGTCAAATTTACTGCCCAGGAGCTTTATGATTGTGTTTCACAGACTGAATATCGGTAAGTCATATCTGTAAACAGATATGCCATTGACTAAGCTTCCACTCATGGGGAAGGGTGGGGGTTTTGGGGTTTTTTTTTTATGCTTTCACTGCACTATGATTTTTTACCTTTAGTAGTATCAAATATTTTATATGTTTCATACATACAAAAGGGCTGTGTGAGTGTGTGTAGCAGGTATAAGGTTTAAAGTAGTTCTGGAAATTTTTGGTCTCAAGACCCCTTTCTATTTTAAAAAGTTAATTGAAGGCCCCCAGAAAGCCTTTATTTATGTGTGTCCTATCTATCAATATTTACTGTAGTAGAAATTAGAATTGATAAAATATTTATTTATTTATTTGAAAATAACAGTAGGTAATTAAGTGCATGTTAAGATAAGTAACATAGAATTATGTAAAGAATTTTTCCCAAACAAAAAACATTCCTGATGAGAGTGGCGTTGTATGTTCTTGCTGGTTAGAAGAAAGCTGGGTTCCCATTGCTGCTGCATTTAGTCTGTTTCCCTAATGACATCATGTATCACTGGAAAACTGCTGGGTGCCATTGCAAGAGTGAGAATGCAAAAGGCAAACCGTGTCTCAGTCTTACTCGGAAAAGAGCTTTGACCTCTTTGATCTCACAGACCCTTTGAAAGAGGCTCACGTTCCTCAGACCATGCTTTGAAAAACAGTCGGTATAAAGAATACTCAACAGGCCTCCCATTCAGCTGACAAAACAGACCTTTACCCATTTCTGTGTGTGCCCTCTCTTCCATCCTCTCTCTAGTGATTTTGTGTTTATCATTCTCAACCTTATCTTTATGATTTCACTGCATACTATTTATCATTTAAAAATATGTGGGTTAATTTCACCTGTTTTTTAACTTAGTGGTATCAGGCTATATATTCTTCAAACAAGTAATTCATGTGTAACAAAAAAGAAGTGTACGTCTGGTTTTTGTATACAGAGGGTATAGGCCCAACCCTGTGCCCAGACAGACAAGTTCCTGAGGAGCAAAAGCCCCTTCAAAAGCCCTTTCAGTGCTGCCCTCCCGCCCTGCAGCCCCTGATCCTCCACCCCATGTTCTCCTGTAAGTCGGCAACGAGATTCACCCTTTTGGGATGTGGAGCAGAGGTTGGCTTACAGTGTAACATGCCCCGTGTGTGCCTTTTGTCACCCTGTGCTATGCAAAGTCAGGTAATAAAAGTCACAGGCTCATGAGAACAAGCGGAGCTAGGGCATATCACTCCAAAACTTAAGGAACACCATAAAAAATCAAAATGGTATCACAGATTGACACATGTTCAGGGGTTAGGAAATACATAAACACTGTAATAAAATTGACACTTGACCTTGATAAAGAGCTGAGATTGCTCGTGGCAGCGGTCAGTGGAAAAGCTGCCGCTCACTGCGTAGTGTGGCGGGCTCCGGGGAGGGGTGTCTGAAATTGGAGGTAACATGGTAGCGCCTGATGTGGGTGGATGTGGCGCATGGCACACAGGAAGGTGAGGCAGTTGGCACATTTTGGGGGTGTGCGTGAGTGTGTTCTCTGTGTTCCTAAGCCACCTGGCTCAGCTGGGAGCAGCTTTCCCTGTTCACCGAGCACCTCTCACTGCCGAAATTATGTATAAGAAAATGTGAAATTTGCATTGAGCTCAAATAGTTCTTTAATGTATCAGTGGGGTTGGAACAGACCTATGTGTTTGCAACAAGCACAGTAGCAGAACTGACTTTTTTCACCCTGCCATTGCACCACTAAAGCACTGTTTATTTGCTATTGATAATGTGCAGATATACCTTTGTGGCTATGAAATCTTATGTGCAGGCTCAGTGACAAAGTTAATTCTCAAAGTGCTTCTGTTAAAACCCTTAATGTTATTCAGCAGTACAGCTATGAAAATGCACTCATTAGATTCGAATGTTTTTCAAAAATATCTGAAGTCAGTGGATATGCATAACATTGTTCCTGGTGGTAAGAATGATTTTTTTTACCTTGATCTGCAGACTATCAGTCAACTCGTTATACTCTTATTTATAGATCTTTATAGTCAGTTTACACTTGAAGGTTGTGTATATGAGATTCATGTAAAAAATATAATGTCTATCAACCTTAGCCATATTTTTAAGGGGTAGAAAGCCCGCTCTAGATAACTTGGAGGGCACAGTCCCTTGCGGGATGGTTCAGATGTCTGAAATTATTTTAAGTTCACCTTACTGTTGGAATAGTTGGGAGGGTTTTTTGGAGGAGGGGGGTGGGAGGTAGAGAGGGTACAGGGATCGAAGTTGAATGTTCAAAGTTAAAGCAGTTGTACCTGTTTTTCTCTTTGTTTTCTTTCCACCTACAATACCACGGATTTGAACTGTGCTATTACTAATAAGTTCACTCTTACACCCAAAAGGATGATTTTGAAATCAAATATATTAATATCTTGAATGAGCTGAAAAAGGGAATTGCTGTGCAGCAGGCTTTTGATGCATAGCTTTTAGATTTCTTCTGCTGCTGTTTGTTTTGACATTGTTTGCCCTGTTTGCAGTGAACAGTGTCTCCCACGTGAGCCTCCTGTGTCGTCCGCATCTCACAGTTTTCACATCGGCTGCCAAGAGAGACCTCCTTTTGGTGTCAGTGGGTCATGTTAGACACGGGGTTAAATGCAGTACATAGAAGGTGTTACAGTTTTCCTGTGGTTTGGAGGTGAAAACAGAAGAGTGATTTAGCTTGCATGTAGCTGGCCACGCTTGGAAATGTTAAGAAAAGGAGTCTCTTGAAGTGTCTGAATGTCCAGTTCTTTGTGTTTGGTTACAGTGTTAGTTGTGAGGAAGGAGACTGTTGATGTGCCCAACACCATATTTATTGCAACAGGGATGTAATTAAATAGCTGAAGAACATTTTATAGATTTTATAGGTTCTGATAAAACAAGAAATTAAGGTTGCAGATTGGCAGTGGTTTTAATCAAAAGTTGACACTGGGGAACCTTGGTGTTTGTATCTATATACCCGTTAGTGTTTCTGTCTTCCATGTTTGTAGGCTGTTTGGTGCGGCTTTTGCTCTGGCTAGTGGGGTCTGTCTGTGCACTGTTTATCCTGAGCAGAGAAGGAGTTTGCTCAGAAAATCCAGGTGGTAAATTAATGAGGTTATCACATAGTTTACCACACCTATATCTTGTGTGATGTCTTTTATTTGCATGGGAAATAAGTTAGAAGTGTTTAATTCTCTGTTTGCCCTATAAGTTCTTGACAGAATGTTCTGGCATGTATGCGAGGCAAGTCTCTAAGGTCATTTCTTCTACATGAAATGTAAACCAGTTTGTAACATCAGCCTCATAAAGTACCTGGCATAAAGTAACTGGTATGCTGCCTAAGATGGCGTGTGTATCAGAACCTTTTTCCCCTGTGGCAAGTGCTTTCAGGAATGACTGCTTTCTGGCTCCTAGAATCAGCTCCCTGGTGATGGCTTAAAGGTTACCTTTGAGCTGTGGTTCCAGCACCCAAGTGTCAGCATCCCCTGGGAGCTTGCAAGAAATGCACACTCTACGGCTCCACCCCAGGCCTGAAGCCAGGAACTCTGGGGGCAGCGCCTGGCAATCTGTTTCCCAGCCGCTGCAGGCCCTGCTGAAGTGTGAGACCCACTGTGTCCAGGAAGCCTCGACAGAAAAAGCCTTAGAGAAGAATAACCTAGAAATCAGATCTAGACCTTTGATATTTTTCCTTTAATTAGAAAAGAATTACATTTTTGTCTCTAGATGCAGTAATACTTTGCAGTAAGTTTGACCTCGTTATTTGTGATAGAAGATAATACAAAATAAAAGTGTATACTTTTTGTAATTGAGGTAAAAGTCACATAACAAAATTAACAATTTTCAAGTGCACAATTCAGTGGCATTGAGAGCATTCACTGTTACGCAACGGGTGCCCTACAATTAGGCGTCTCTGGGCCACAGTGGAGGAATTGTCATCTGGGGCTACACATTAAATACACGAACACTAACAAAAACAAACAAAAAAAAATCTTACAACGTTTTAATTTTAAGTAAATTTACGATTTTGTGCTGGGCCGCATTCATAGCTGTCCTGGGCTGCATGTGGCCCATGGGCGTGGGTGGGACACCCCTGGCGCTGGTCCCATCGCCCGCCCTGGAGGGAACTCCCATGCCTGTGAAGTCGTTCTGTGTTCTCAGCTCCTGGCCCCGGGCCCTGGCAACCACCAGTCTGCCTTGTGTTTCGGTGGATCTGCACATTCTGGGTTTTTCTTGTAAGTTGCATCATACAACTTATGACCTTTTGTATGTGGTTTTGTTCACTGGCATGCTGTTTTTGAGGTTCAGCTCATTGTAGCATATACCAGCGTTTCATTCCTTTTTAAGGCTGAATAGTATTCCATTGTATGTATCAATTATACCACATTTTGTTCACCTGTTCATCCATCTGTTGGACATTTGGTTTGTTTCAGATCTGGGGCTAGTGCGTGAGTAATGTTGCCACTGGTGTACAAGTATTTGTTTGAATTCTTTCGATTCTTTCCAATTTGGGGGGATGGGGTCTATCCTAAGAGTAGAATTCCTGGGTCAGCCAGTAATTCTGTTGTTAAGTCTTTGCAGAACTGTGCTCCACAGCGGCTGTGCTCTGTTACCTTCCCACCAGCAACATACAAGGGGTCCAATTTCTCTGCATTCTCAGCACTGTTTTATTTTCCATTTCTTGATTAAAGCTAATGAGTGTGAAGTTTTATCTCATTGTGATTTTGATTCTCCTAAGTATTAATGAGGTTGAACGTCTTTTCATGTGCTTGTTGGCCATTTGTCTCTTTGGAGAAATGCCTATTCAGTCTGTTGCCCATTGTAAATTGGGTTGTTTTTCTTTCTGTTGTTGAGTTTTAAAGAACTCTCGATGAGGAACCTGGCCGCAGACCATAATGCTGTGTGTGATCTTTCAGGCCTGACCATGGGCAGTTACCTGGCTTCAGCTGGCAGCCTCCACTGGGGAGCACTGCCTCCCCACGCCAGACTTGGTGCGCAGCCAGTGGACTGCAGTGCGGTGGCGGGGAAGCGGTGGGCAGCGGGGTGCAGGCGGTGCTCAGGCCCTCGCCCCTGGGCAGCCATGCCCGCTCACTCACCTGCATTCGAGCCGGGCAGCTTCATCGGGAGGCCTCTTTTGGGGGCTTTGCCTGAAGCACCTCTGCGGAGACCTCTTTCTGGAGCCCTTGCCTAAGGGGTCTCTCCTCTCTGACTTGGAGCTTTTCTGCTCCTGAGTCCGCTCCTTTGCAGTGGCCTGAATGTTTATATCCCCCAGAATTCGTGTTAAAGTCTTATTGCCCAATGGTATGATCTTAGAAGATGGAGCCTTTGGTAGTTGATTAGGTTGTGAGGGTGGAGCCTTCATGAATGGGATTAATGATCTTATGAAAAGAGGACTCTCCCCAGAATGTGCTGTGTTGCCTCCTTGATCTTGGACTTCCTAGCCTCCAGAACTGTGAGAAATACATTTCTATTGTTTATAGTCTCCCCAGCCTGCGATGTTTTGTGATGGCAGCCTGAATGGACTAAGATAGCCCCTACCCTTCCTCAGCCATTTGTGTCCACGAAGAGGCCGGAGTGCTGGTTCAGGGCCCCTCGTCAGTGAGCTGATGCCCTGTCTGCATCGTGCATTGTCTGACCCTGGCCTGGCATCGTCCTGGGGGGGAGTGGAGCCCTGGGCAGCTGGCACCGTTCACTGGGCCTCTTGCTTGCAGGACCACAGGAAATGAATCGAGCCCAGATTGGTACTTTCAGTTTGGCTTGGTGACTTTGTCAACCTCCTCAGCACCTGGCAGCTTGACCTGTTATATGTCCTGGATATTAGGCCTTCGGCACAAAAATAATTTGCAAATATCTTCTCTCATTCTGTAAGTTGTTTTTTCACTTTCTTGATAGTATCCTTTGATGTGCAAAAGTCTTTAATTTTTTTGATAAAGATTTCTGTTTAATCGTATTTTTGTATGCTCTGCGCCAAAATAACATTACATTGCCAGATAAGAAACCAGACAAAATATCAGAGACACAGAGGAGGAGAAGAGTCTTTGAACTAAGCCATGCCAAGTTGTCTGACGTCAAACCGAGCAGGTGCCTGGGGCAGGCAGAGCACCAGGGCAGCGGAGGAGGACTGCCGTCGCGGCGCCAGAGCCGAGTCACGGCGGAAGTGCTGCCGCGTGATCTGCAGTTTTCTCTGAAACATGAGTTGTTTTACTGTCCCTAAGAGACAAAGCAGAATTTTTGCTGGACAATTTACATAAGTTCTTGCATTTTTATATTTTATTTTTTACTTAAAAATGTTTATTTTTTATTTAGAGGTGAAAAGTTTGCAATTTTAATAACGTTTGCAAATTTGTACATCTTTTTCTTCTGTTGTGTGGACTTTTGGAGTCCCATCTAGGAACCCATTGCCAAAACTGAGGTCATGGCTATTTACCCTGAATGTTTTTCTAAGCATTGTATAGTTCTAACTCTAACAGCTCATTGATACATTTTCAGTTAATTTTAAATGGCGTGAGTATGGGTTGAACTGCATTTAGTTTGCATGTGGATGTGGGGTTGTCCCAGCACCATTTGTTGAAGAAACTGCTCTTTCCCATTGAATGGTCTTGACACCCGTGTTGAAAGTCAGTTGACCATGTGTGTGACGTTTTATTTCTGGACTGTCAGTTCACCTCCACTGGTCTGTATGTCTGTCTAGGGCAGTACCACACTGTTTTCATCAAAGTTGCTTTGGAGTAAGTTTTAAAAATTGAGAAGTGTGAGTCCGCTAACATTACTTCTTTTTCAAGATTTGGCTTTCTGGGGGTCTTTTAAGTTCTGTATGAATTTTAGTTTTGGTCGTTCCATTCCTGCAGAAAAAGTTGTTGGGATTTTGACAGGGAGTGCGTTAAGTGTGCAGATTTGCCTGGGTACTATTAGCGGTGTACTTACGTTTTCCAGTCTGTGAACATGCGATGTCACTAATTTAGAGTTTTAATTTCTTTTGGCAGTGTACTGAAGTTTTTAGTGTACAAGTCTATGTCTCTTTGCTTAAATTTATTCCTAAGTAGTTTAATCTTTTTCATGTTATTGTAAATGGACTGTTTAGTGCTATTGTTACTTCCTTTTCAAATTGTGTATTGCTAGTATGTAGAAATGCAACCTATGTTTTGTGTTGATCTTTTATTTTGCAGTGTTGTGCTGAAACAGTTTATTAGCTCTAGCAGTTACTTTGTGGATTCTTTAGGATCTATAATTTTACTTCTTTGTGTACACTCTGTATGCCTATCATTTTTGTGTGTGTGGGTTTAATTATTCTGTATAGAACTTGCAATACGATGTTGAGTAGAAAAGGTAAACGTGGACATCCTGGTTTTGTTTCAAAATTTAGGAGGAGAGCTTTCAGTCTTTCCGCATTGAGTATGATGTTAGCTATTATATACTGTTTTTATATTAAGATTACATTGTATTCAGCTTTTCTTTCATTTGATATACACATTACAGAGGTATGCCAAAGTTCAGAGAGTTGTAAAACAAATATTCATTTTAGACTTTCTTCATTGCACCTAGAAAGAATTTTGGAAAAGCTTCATCAGAAATTGGAATTAGGTCATTTAAATTCACTGCTATCATTCCGTTTGGACAAAATTAGCCATGGAAATTAATCAAATAATTGATGGAGGGTTTTTTTTTTTTTAACTTCTAACTGATTAAAAAAATTTTCCAGTTATTTTGACCTGTTCGTGATTTGGTTAAGCAAGTTTGATACCCATATTAGGACAACTTAAAGAAACAGTGGCAGGTTTGCAGAACTCTCCTGAGCAACACAGAATTACAGAGCTGGATAGAAGCAACCTCCAGTCTTGACCTCTGCTCCAGAAAGGATTACGAGTTGGGATTGTTTAGTTTGGAAAAAAGAAATAGGATCATTATAAGAGACAGAATGTTTGTACTGTTGGAGGAAAAAGGGAAAACGACTTTTTGTTTTGTTTTAATTTAGGAAGGTTGGGGGTCAGATCGATAGGGTTCATAGACCCCGTATAAAGGAACAAGAGGCATCCAAGCATGTAATGAATGGGCTGCCTCGCGCTGTGTCTGGTGAGAGGACTCACTGCAGGATGGCAGGCAAAGGTGCTTAGGTGACCTCGCATTTAATGTGCGGCCTTTCTACATACAAGCCATGGTCAAAAGGAACTCGAGAACTGCTGTCATTACAATCCGGAGAGACCAAGTATACAAGATGAAAAACACCCGACACTCCCTCAGTCAGCGATGACAGCTTGCTGCGGGAAACAGTCTGTAGGGGTTTGTAATCTTGTCAGAACGGAGACTTACAAATAAATGCCACCCATGTGGGAAGAGGAGAGGAGCTCACCTCGTAACTGCGAGAGGGGAAAGCAAGAAGAAAAGGACATAGAAATAGATTCAAAGTCTAGTTACTGAAGGAGTAGTTTCATATGTGGAATCATCAAGGACAGCAGTAGGCACGTGTTTCATTTTTCACTTTGGAGAGAACATTGATCTCCTGTTTTGGATCTCTGGGGTCCCCTGGAACTCACTTTTTGAGTAGCTGTGAAGAACTGGCAGCAGCGTGCCGCTAATTTAAGCTGTCTAACTGTAGGAAGCAGGGCTGGAGTAAGCAAAGGTAAAAGGCAGGTTGTGATCAGCTTCACAGAAAGTGCACATCTTCAGGACCTGGGGCCACTCAAAATATGGTGTCTTTACTTTTGCTGCCACCGCTCTTTCTTATCCTATTCGTTCCTTGAGTTCTGGTTGACTTTGTTTTCTTTGTACCCCACATCGAGGCATCCGTGGGGGCAGAAGCAGGGGCAGCGGGCAGTGGGGAGAGGTAGCGGGTGGTCTTCCCGAACCCCGTGGAGATGGCTCGGAGTGAGCTTAGAAGCCAAGAAAGTAATAACTGTCATTTAGGTAATAAAAGTAACCGTCATTTCTTGAACACCTAATGTGCCAGACGCTGTACTAGATGCTGGGTATTCTTCATGAACTTACATGGAGGATCTCCCGGTAGATTTAAATAGGTTTCAAGCGTAGAGTGGGATCCACACTCTATGGACACTTGAGAGCCCAGGTAGGCTTCTTCTTAGGTAAAATTATATGTAGGTGTGGCATATATTGGGCATTACTCTCTGCTTCCACCTGCGGTTAATTAACTAATACTCGTTAACTGTTAGATGACTTATTTCAGCAACTGACTGTAACAGTTGATGCTGACAGCTTCCTATCCCCTCTCTGGTGTTTGCTGGCAGGCGGTGCGCTCTCTTAGTGTCCTCCAGTCTACGTGTTCTTTTACTCCCACGCTAAGTAAGGCAAAAAAAATATGATCTACTCCCCACCCCCCAAGCCTTGCTTACCCCTCAGATTAAAACCTGTTGACATCAGCCCATTTCCTGGGAGAGGTGCTTCAGAGACCATGCAAAGGACTATTTTTACGCCTCCAGCTTTGCTTGTTGTCAGCAGGTCTGCCATGAGAACCCTTATTCCTGAATTCGAGGAATTGCATCAAGATCTTCATGTTGATTGAGAACCAGTCTAAGTGCCTGTTATCCTCCCATGTTTTGTCTGTGCTGAGAAACCGTAACTCTTGGTATTTTTCTCTCAAATATCAAAAGATGTATTTCAAACCCCAGTGTCATCCTGGTGTATTAAGATGGTTTCACTTAGCAGCCACCTCGCACAGTGATGTGACGTTTCTTTCCCAGGGAGCGGTTAACCATCGGGTGCCGCCAGCTGGTCGAGATGGAATGTGCCATGCAGCAGTGCCATGCCTCCGTGTACACGGAGGCCAAAAACCGGGGGTGGTGTGAGGACGTGCTCAGCGACACGACCGGAGTCTGATTGTCCTCAAGAACAACAAAGTCGCTTTCAGCCTTTGAAGCCAAACCCAAGAGACTTGTAAGAAATGTCTCATTCGTATAAAAAGGTGATTGCTTATTATTGACAGTCTCATTGAGGTTCTCTAAAACGCGTGATGCATCCATCGTGGGATAAATTGTGGAGTCAGCTTTTCTGAAGGTGACAGTACCTCCCTACCTCTACTCCTGATACTGAGCCGGTATGTGTAAGGAAAGGAGAGCCATCTTTTTAGTCATCTTAGGGCAGGAGCCACTGTGGCATTGGAGGAAGGCACAGTATCAGCATCTCTTTCAACCCTGTGTATGATTATGTGACCAGCGACACTTCCAGACTCCAAGAAAGAATTAGGACGTGACCGTTCCACACATAAAATCTTACCCTGGGCTGTCGTATGATCAAAGTGTCTTCCATGTAGACCTGGTGAATATAATACACATCCCTTCCACGTCCCCAAGGAATTGAAAATGGAGATTTTACTTCAGCTCCAGCTTGCAGTAACAGCTTTTTTTCCCTCGCTGGACTGGTCACTTTTCAGTGCATTTCTATGGGAAGAGCAAGGAGAGAGCCCTGTGTCTCTCCAACAGCATGATTTAGGGGATTAGGTGGCAGAGACCGATGGTGGCGCCTAACTAAACCAAGCGTTTAACTGGCTTATTTCTTACTTAGTTATATAGCAAGTCGGAAGTCCCTGTTTAATAGAGTATATTATGGTTTTGTTAGTACATTACATTAAATCTAACTTGGTATTCTATTATAAATGTTCATTTATTTTTTAAAAAAGCAATACATTATTTTTAGTAAGATCCTGCTTTTAATTTTACTTCCAAATTGTATTTCTGAACTGTGTATAAGGTATGATTATAAAGGTGTGCCTCACCAGTAACAGAACCTGTGCAGGTGCCCACTAGCAGTCTGTGCAGGAACCCCGCCCCGTGTTTGCATACAAAGCCACTCCGCCCCCCGCCACCGGGGCAGGCTCGGTGCTGTGTTCTTTGAACCAGGGGGAAGAAGCTTCTCTGCTCTCTGCCTCTTTCCTTTTCTTCCCTGAGGAGCCAAACTGTCCCTCTTCGACCAAAAGAACTTTACTCAGGCCCTTGTCCCCAAACTCAGGCCCTTGTCCCCAAACATTGTCCCCAATGTTAAACACTTCAGAACATTTCTTTTCACTCCTGTTACCTGCTTGCTTCTTTATATTTCACCTGTATTTATGTGGATTTTAATTTTGTCTTTTATGTTGTGCATTAATTTGTCAATTACATCCACATTTCTGAAATTTTATTGATATGTAAAGGTTTTTTCTTCTAACTTTAGTCTTTATTTTCATTTTTTTCTCCCTTTCTCGTTGCCTTTTTTCTTAGTTTTTATTACACTAAGTCTAGTAATCATCTGTCACCATGACCACTTAATGACAATAATATTAACTGTATTCCCCTTCACCTTTTTCAGGCATCTCCCCCGCCCCCACCCCCACCCCCGTCCCCTGCCCAGCAACCATCAGTACGATCTGTTTCTACGAGTCTGTTTTTGTTGGTTTTAGATGCCACATACAAGTGAAACCTTACAGTATTTGCCTTTCCCTAATTTTACTTGGCAATACCCCCTAAGCCCATCCATGTTGTTGCAAATGACACGATTTCATTCTTTTTTATTTCTGAGTAATATTCCATTTGTTAACGTTTGCTTTTGTTTCCCTTGCTTGAGGGGACATATCCGTAACGATATTACTGAGGCTGACGTCAGATAGTTTGCTACCTGTGTTGTCTTCTAGGAGCTTTACGATTTCAGGTCTCATTTTATATTTAACCCATTTTTAGTTTATTTTTGTATATGGTATAAGAAGGTGGTCCAATTTATTTTTATTTTTTTGCATTATCTGTCATTTTCCCAGCAACCCTTTTCAAAGGGGCTGTCGTTTCTTCATTGTACATTCTTGCCTCCTTTGTCATAGATTGACCATATAAGGGTTTATTTCTGGGCTCTCTATTCTGTTCTACTTATGTGTCTGTTTTTGTCCCAGTACTATACTGCTTTGATTACTGTGGCTTTGTAGTATAGCCTGAAATCAGAGTGGGTGGTACCTCCAGCTTTGTTCTTTCTCAAGACTGTTTTGGCTGTTCTTGGTCTTGAGATTCCATACACTTCAGGATTAATTGTTCTAGTTCTGAGGAGAATGCCATTGGCATTTCGATAGGTATTGCACTGAATCTGCTGATTGTTTTCATACCTTTGTTTTGATGGAAGAATGATCAGATCCTTAAGAGCACCTTCAGATTGTAAAATCTCCATTTTTCAATACGTATGGCTATTATATTTTGAGTAGAAGCCACCGTGAGCATGTCAAGAATCAGAATGGGGCAAGTCACACCAGGGGAAGGGCTCTCTGCGTGACGTCCTTGGTTTGCCTTAGCGAGGAGCTGGTGGTAACTTCACAAGAGGCATCCATGAGGGTTGTTCCATTGAAGTTCCGGTGCCACTTTGCACTGGCCTTTTCCAATGGAACTTTTCTGGAACGCTATACAGACCCTTCGGAGACTGGCTTTGCATTTAGCATGCTACTGACACCCAGCCATGATGTTATCAGTACTTCAATTCATGTTATTCCTGAGTAGCATTCTGTTATATGGATGGAACTTACTCATTTGCTAGTTGAAAGGCTCTTTCAGTTTTTGGCAATTATGAATAAAGCTGCTATAGTCAGATATGGGTTTCTGTGTGAACATGTTTTTATTGCACTTGGATAAATACCTAGGGATGGGATTGATTATTGTATCATAGGGTATTTTTCTAAGAAACAACCAAACTGTTTTCCAAAGTGACCTTACTGTTTTCTAATTTCCTACAGCAGTTTGAGAGTTCCAGTTACTCTGTATCCTATCCAGAATTTGGTATCAATTATTCGGTTTTAATATGTGTATGACATTTTGCTTTTTACATTTTCCTAACAAATTACAATAGTAACCATCTTGGAACTCATTTACCTTCTTTGAAGTGTCAGTTCAAATCTTTTGCCCATTTAAAAATTTGATTATTTTATCCAGTCTTTAGAATTCTGAATTCAAATCCTTTATCAGACGTTTTCTTTCAAGCCTGTACCTTTAAACAGTTTTGGTTTAGACAGCACTAACTTAATGTAGAAGGTAGGTCTTACCATGACTTGCAAGTAACCTTAATGGATAGCTGGTCCTGTTTGGTAAACACGTTCCAGTTTAATTGCTGGATACTTCATCTCATAAGTTTCATTTTCATTCAGTTTGGTATCCTGTGTGTTTTTCCGGTCTAAAGTTATATCACTGCCTTTGCTAGGTTAATAAAATTACTTCCTTAGCCACCTAATCAAACATATGCCCTTTTTAGATTCTATTTCCACAAGGTATCTTTGATAACTGAGCGTTTGCTTCTCTTTATTCAACCTCCAGTGAATGATGAAGCTATTAATAATGAAGCCTAAATACTTTGTTGGCCATTCCGTGGTATGCACATAAATATGTCCCTCTATAAATTCTACTTGTTGCTCAATATATCATTTTAAGACTCTTGAGAAGCTTCTGGTTTTATTTTGAAGGAAATTGGTGCTTCATGGTAATCTTTTAACCTACAGATGATTTTTTTCCTTGATTTTTAAAAATTGAGTAAATTTAACATGTAACATTGTATAAGTTTAAGGTACAGCATGTTACTTTGATACATTTATATATTGTGATGACTGTCATGTGCTATTTATATTACATGATTATAATATTGTCTTGTATTCATTTTACTGTGCTTTAGATCTTTATGGCTTATTTACTACTTGCTGCCAAGTTTGTACGCTTACACACCACTCTTACTCCACCCCTCCCCTTCCCTTGCTAACTGCCACCATTTTACTTGTTTTTACAGGTTTAACTGTTTTGATTTCACATGTTAAGTGCTATTATACAATGCTTGTCTTTCTCGGACTTATCTTGTTTAACATACTGTGCTCAAGGTCCATCCATGTTGTAACAAATGGAAGGATATCCTTTCTCGTGGATGATTTAATTTACTTAACAGAACAAAATTTGTTGTTTGGCCTTACCATTTAAGATTCATTCACTGGCAGTTCCTTGCTTTTCTTTCTTTTTTACACCCCGTTAATTTACCTTGTCTTGGTCAGTTAAAGACTTTTCAAATCCTTTTTTTTTGGAACAAAGTAGAATACAAATAAATTCCTAATATTATAGAGACTGAGTTTTCTGTGACTCACTCTTCTAAAGGTTAACTCTGGAGTTGCAAAAATATTGTAATTGGACTCTTTCTTCTTTTCCTGCTTCATTTTAAAATTAAGAACCCTGAGGTCCAGAGAGATTATTGGTATTAAACAAGGTTTCTAGCATTATATCAATGTTCCCAAATCCAGGAGGTTCCCCTCCAAAATGCGATTACGTAAGGAATTCTAAAACACGTTGAATAATGGGAAAGCATGTTTGACATACTACAAGACAAAAATCGAAGCCCTATCTTGAAAGTAAAAAAAAAAAAAAAAAAAAAAAAATTGATGCCTGAGGTATACCAATTAGTTTGTTAATTCTAACAGGTATTTTACAGTTTTGCTACTGTTTTAGGGATCCTAGTATGTTTTGTGCATTATGACAACCAACCTTAAGTGTGGTGGTTATCAGTATTATTTCTAAATTACTCCAAAACCCATACTGGTAAAAAAAAAAAAATTTAATTATGCTGAAGCTATGCCACATTGTCTCCTTACCTCAAGAAAAAAATGTACCTTTTAGATGGGGATAAACTCTAACAATTCATCACTGAGGACTGTTTTTATTTTCCCCCTCTTATAGAAGCTTCTTGTATTAAAACCATACTTTAAAAATATGTTTTAGCTACTAAAATACCTGCTTGGCATCAGTGGTAATACAGGAAAACTCTAAGCCAAAGTAATCTCACATATTTGCATTTAAGTGTTACTTAGGAATTGAGAAGTAACTTCAAGGATTTCACTGCTGAATTCCCAACTAAAAGTTAATTTCCTGTACTATAAAGAACGTAAATAGAAAATAGAGTCATTAAAAAAAAGTGATCATGTTAGGCTTTTTTCAAATTTACCCATGAAGTTAGTTAGCCACTGGCTAGCCACTGCCTTCTCCGAGAGAAGGAACCACCAAACCTTACATCAGTCTTTCTTTCAGATGTAAGATGCTGGGTGAGTGTTTAAAATGTTTCCCCAAAACATTCAGTAATGAATGATGAGTACACAAACAGCATTTGGATATTAATGCCATGGTGCAAGGATTTCCTGCAAAGTACCTTTAGTACGTTTGCATCGGCAGCAGGCAGTAGGATGTGCTAGTTTTGGCACCAGAAGTTTTATGTGTAGCACTGCACAGTTGATACCAAGTCACCCCAACCGATATTCTTCCATATGAACAGAAAAACTGAACAAACACAGTTCTCATAATGGCTGCACTCATAAATCCAATGTAGTTTAATTGTTTTCACAGTCTAGGGCTGCCATTTAGTTTTGTTAATGATTAAAAACAGGAATTATTTAGAAGAGAAAATACTTCACTGTTCTTTACTGTTGAATATTAAGTGTCTTCTATATATAATATACCCTCAAAAAGTCATATTATTTAAAATTGGTATGTCAAATAAAAATTAAAGCTATGTTACTTGTTCAGCAGTTCCACTCAAATAAACATGGGTACTTCATTCTCAAAAAACAAATTGTAGCTGAGGCAAATGCTTAGAAATTTGAACCCTAAGTGTGTAAAGAAACACTTCGCCCTGCATGCTTCAAGGCTGCCGCTCTGCTCTGGTAACATGGACCCACACCTTCAACAGGTAAAGCACTCTGCTGAGAGTATAAAAAGTTATAAAAGGCAATCATAAAAGATTAAATCTTGGTAGGCACATCAGCTTTCTTTTAATAAGAACAAAAGTAGCCATTGCCATCTAGTTAAATAAGTCTCTTTTGTTATAGAGTGTTTCCAGTTATTGAAAAAGGGTTCTTAAAAAACCCAGCAACCTGTATCTTAACACCCTTCCCCATCTTGCCTAATACACATTTGAGGAAAGAGTTATTTAATGTGCAAATTGCCAAAACAAATGTGGAGGAGAGGGGACTTCTTGAAATGGTGTTCCCAATCAATTCTTGGTTTATTCTTTTACAATATCAACTTCCAAAAAGTAAAATAACGAAGTAGTCCTAAAAATACACAAAACAGATCTTCATCTTTGCATTCCTTTCCCAATAACACAAAGTATGAACAGCATGTTTAATAATATGCAATATGCAAAGCTTTGTGTTGCTGTTAGCAACCTCTATACCCACCCACCCTCCTTATTCACAAATGTACCTCTACTAAACACAATTACATCACTAAGCCTGTTAGTTTGAAAAAATCTTAAATTTGTTAAAACTGGAAGATCTTTGTATAGGGGCTCCACTCATTGGACTCAAGGTTATAGACCTCCACGGTGTTCAGAAATTCATTGCCATCAAACCCTCCCACTGCGTAGATGGTGTTCCCCACAGCTGCAATCCCAGCATTGCTCCGAGGTGAAGTCATGTTTCCCATCATCTTCCATTCATTCCTCGTCGGATCGTACATCTCAACACAGCTGATGGCGTGCGAACCATCAAAGCCACCGCCCACGAATAGTTTTCCTAAAAGAGAAATGAGACAAATCTAGATAAAGAAGAAAACCCCGAACTCTGTCTTTTGCTAAAATCAGTGGTTATTAGAAATGACTCTTCATTCTGTCAGAGAAGTAGTTATGAAATGCCTACTCGTGTGGCAAGCACACTCCAGAGGCTGGGGATACATATGGAATAAAATCAGTAAAAACCCACTTGCACACGGGAACTCAGGGCAGTTGGGGCGGGGGCACCACCCAAAGTGCAATTCTCACAACACATCTGTACGGTAGTTGCTGTTATTGCCATTTCACAGATGAAACAAAGAAGGAAGACAACTTGCCAAAAAGACACAGTAAGTGGCAAACCGGAGTAGTTCTGTGCACTGCAAGTTTTAGTCTCGTGTGTAACAACTAAGATTCAGAGGAAGAGTTCAGAAGTGAATGTTTTCTAGAGCTTTCCAACAATATAAAATTCTGGTAAAGAAATTTCTTCTTGGGAACAAAATTGAGAGTTATGACTATTTTCAAATATACACGCAGAACAGTTAAGAGTTAAAGTATTTTCAAGCATAAAATGTTAACGTTAACTACTGTTACTTGAAAACACTTTATTATGGATTCTCAAATTTCATCATTACTACCTGCACCCATACACAATTAAGTCCTCACTTAATGTTGTCGATAGGTTCTATGACTTCAAGTGAAACAACCTTAAGATGAAATCAGTTTTATCACAGGCTAATTAAATTGATACAAACGAGTTGAGTTCCGAGGGCATCTCATCAGCGCTGTAGAGAAACGTCACTCGGGAGCCCTTGTAGTTGTGAAAGAGCCGCCAGGCTCACAGTGGGCCACAGGCCCGCTAAGACTTGGCTGTGGTTCCAGAAACAGTGCTAGCAGCTGAATGCACTATAGCAATTTTATGTGAACTGGTAAACTGAACGGAAAAGAAAAGTGTGTCTGTACAAAAGTTTCATGCCTTGGAAAGACATCTTAAAATAGTCTAAAAGTTTTACCTCCAATTAGGTAGAGAGCAGACAATTAGAATAATGACAAGATCTAGACGATGTGCATGTAGTTTGTTTTGCAGATCAAATACTTTTAAAACTCTTGCTCTAAATAATGGAGTCAAGCTCCAAAATTGATGCATTAAGAGTATGATTTGTGGCAGAAAATGACTTAGAACTTAATTTGGTGAACTCATCAAAAGTTTAACGAATAAGCCCTGGCTGGTGTGGCTCAGTGGATTGAGTGCCAGCCTATGAACCAAAGGGTCGCCGATTGGATTCCCAGTAGGGGCGCAGGCCTGTGTTGCACGGCAGGTTCCCCAGGAGGGGGCGCAGGAGAGGCAACCACACATTGATGTTTCTCTCCCACTCTCTCCACTCTTAAATCTTTAAAAAAAGATTAATGAATTAATACATTTATATTATATTAAGTACTGAGTTTGATTACGAAAGACATTTCTAAAAGACAGATCAGCAAACCCCACTACAACACAAAAGATGGCTGCTTCTGAATTCTTAATTTTATAAGCTTACAGTTACCATTGACATTATCCTGGAATCTCTGAACAAACTCTTGTCACTACCTACTCCTCACCTCTCCAAATCCCAATACTCACCGTCCAGAACAGCTACTCCCGCTCCTCTCCTAGCCACATTCATGGGTGCAATTAAAGTCCAGGTGTTATTTACAGGACTGTAACGTTCTACGGTGCTCAGGCAGTTCCAAGACTCTGCACCTCCGATTATGTACAAATAACCACCAAGCTCACAGACTGCAGACTGGTGTCTACCTATAAAATCAAGTCAAACCAAAGTTACCGCTCTAGCTCCTGAAACTGTAAGTGTGTACTATATATATTGATTTGGAGGTCTTTTTAGGGGAAAAAAAAAATCAACTTACGAATGTTCAGAGGAGCACAGCTTGTCCATGACTTTGTTACAGGATCAAAGACATCACAATTTTTCAGTCCTTTCTGACCATATGGATCAGAGCCACCAAGGATGTATAACTTCCCATTCAGAGCACACACGCCTACGTGTGTAGAAAATAAGGTTATACATTGATAATTTAACTGTTTAAATACTGAATATCTCAGGAGAGTTGTTATTACCTGCATTACAACGGTTGGTTCTCAATTCTGGAACAGGAATCCAGTCATCTATGTACGGATCATACATCTCTCCACAGCTCAGGTCATCTGAGTGGCCATTTGACCCACCAACCACATAGAGTTGGCCCTATACCAAAAGTAAGACGTCAGCATTTCTGCCACCCTCAGGTCATTAGAGAACGCTAAGCATGGGCTGCGTCTCCCTGAAACATAACGCACTTACCATCAGTACAGCCATCTGAAATCGGGCTCTTGGTGTCCTCATGGGAGCAAGGAAGGACCAATGGTCTGTACGTGGATCGTAGCATTCAACTGTTCGAAGACATTCCTCTCTGTTATAGCCACCTGGTAAAAGAAACACAAAGATTTATGTTTAAAATATTAAACTGGACAGGGGTTTCTGGTCCAGAATGGTTGAAGTGTCCACCAACTTATAAGGCCCCAATAGTTCACGTTTCTTAATTAAGAACTTACAAATAGAATAGTAACATTATCAGTATGACTAAATTAGTTTAAGAATTAGAAACAGACACTGCATCAAAGGTTAGGCAATACCACAGTATTTAGTTATTATTTCCCTATTGTCTTACAGTGTGGTAAAGCGAAATGCCGAGGAGGAAGGTGTTTCAAACCCTCCCTTCCAAAGTCTGCATGTCACAGGCAAGGGTAGTGTGTCCATTTAGAGGCCTGGCTGCCTGAAGGCTTCCAATCAGAGACCCCTCACCCAAGTTCTCACCTGCAGCTATGAGTTTGCCGTTCATCTCTGCCGTCCCCAGGCCAGACCGTGCATAATGCATAGGTGACATGGGCTTTTCTATCAGTTCATCTGGTTGCATCTCAAAGCTTAAACTTTTAGTTAGTTTCGGAGTACTTGTTGGTGAGCTCTGTGGGCTGTTCCGCCCGTGAAGGAAGATGACACAGAATACACCATCCAGCACAGCCAGGCACAAGTAGGTGTTATCTGTAAAAGCACAAGAGTGCTGTAAGAGGCAATTATTGTCGCTTTTGGTTGCTATGCAATCCTGAATTGGACTCCTGATTTCAGGCAGGAACAACCTGCTATTGTATTCCAAACTTAATTGCTTCTGAGTTTTTTCTTCTAGTCAATTTGGAAGTATTAAAAATTAGCTCCACTAATACGCCTTCTTAAAAAGTAAATAAATTTTAGACAATCTGACAAGTGAAATACACTTACTTGAAGTCTTTTCTGAAGCAATGATTTTCCACTCATGCTTAGGGCTTTGTACCGTGGCATTTGGAGAAGACACACATCCAGTGGAACTGCTACTTATCTGCTTATGGCCATTCTCACGTGGTGGCTTTTTCTGCAAGATCAAAAGGTAGCTACAGACACCTAGCCAAAGACCGTAACAGGTGCACCTTTGCTCCCGAGCTATTTCACAACACTGAAAAACACTTAGTATCCTTCGCCTATGTATGACATTAATAACACACCTAAATTTAACACAAACCAGCATTTCCAACTTACTTCCATCTCCAAATTACTTCCATCTCCACTCCTAACAACTACGCTTACACAAATTGCCTCGTCAGGAAAAGCTCAATTTAAACAACTAAAAATATATGTTGTAGGTCAAGTATCAATTCCATAATGGAGAGAAAAAAAGAAATTCTCCATAATCCACATGTGCTCACATACTCTTTATATTAGGTACAGATTATTTTAAAAGATGTTATAATTTAAAATGGCATGAATTAAGACACTACATTTAAGCCACTGTCTCCATGAAACTGTCAAACTCAAATAAATCGAATGTCATTATGCACCGGTAGCCTCCACACAATGCCAACAAAAAGTGAGCAGATGTAAATATGCAGCCGGTCCCTCTGAAAGGATTTTACAGGGAAAAAAGTGGTGATTACAAAAAATCCATTATAGTATATTTCTTTAAGACTGCATTATAGGTATCATAGAGTGGCTTTCCAAACAAAACTACATCAAATCACGGAAATAAAAAAGAAATAGTAAATAGAAATGAAACAATAATACTAAAAGAGCCAACCATTCACAAAAGTAGAATACCCAGGAACAGTAAAAGAGGGAGAAAGGGACAAAGTTGCACATTTTAAATGATTTTAAGATTTACAATGTGTTCTCATGTGTGAGTTCCCTTTGATGGGTTTTTTCCAATTACTTTAGCCCATGACACTTGCAAAAAATGTGATCGTAGGGAACTAACTGGAGGAGTCAACACCAACCACCCTGAGAGGCGCTTCCAAGTGAGCAGGTGCCGCCCACCGCCTTCAGTACCTGGCCGAGTCCGCCTCGCCACTTATTTTGGTCCCCAGGGCCAGTGCCACATGGGCGGGTAAAATTTTTAATGGAAATTTGTATTTCTAGTAGAAGCAGAAGTCCACGGAACAATAGAAAAAAAGATTCTGGTAACTACTAGAAGCTTTGAAAAAACTACTTAAAAGTTTGGGAGAATTCAGCAAGTGTGGTTACAGCATATGAAGGTTATTTTGAGAAAAGGCAGAGAATGTACCATGTTAATGGTCATTAAATTCCACTGAGACAGTTATTATGTGCCTAGGTATCATTAGACACTTTTTCACATCAACTCTTAATTCACTGAGGGCAATGTTACCTACCCATTTTATAGATAAAAATACGGGAACTCAGAGAAAATACACATTGCCTAAGGCAGTAACACCTAAGAGAAGAGGAATTCTGAGCATAAAGCCACTCTTTATACTATGACAGACTGTGTCCTCTGCTACTAGAATTACAAGGCATATAAAACCCCAGCCCGGTCTGTGGGAAGAGGGATCCAAAGCACCGCAAGTTGACAATGCTTACATCAAAAGTTTTTATCATAAGAAGAAAACTGGTCTAGTGTATAGAGAGAAAATCAATGTGAAAGAGAGAAGCACATTAACAGCGAAGACTGCTAGCGTTACATAACCAACAAGCCTGATAGAGAAACGCTGGCCTTTATATTCCTCCTGGAACATTCTCGAGCATAACCCTTTATTCCTCCTTAGCTCCACACTGTCCCACACCAACCCTTCCCGCCCAGCCTGCTCAGCGGCCGTGCTCTCTTTACCTCCCCCCCCGCAGGAGGTAGCCCCTAGTGGCTGTTGCTTTTTCAGCTTCTCAAGCTGAGGGTTTCTTTCCCTCCAACTGGAAATTATATCCCCTCAAGGTTACTACAGAGCGGTTTCCTAAACCCAGCGCAGGAGACATACCCCTAACCTTTTACATGGCTTCCCAGAGAATGTTGTAACACAGTTGACAATTTATTCCTCCTTCCAACTTCCTCCTCTTGTGTTAAACCAGCTTTTATGACACAGTTTGATTCTCATTGTCTTCCTATCTCTCTAATGGCTTCTTCTCAACCTTTTTTCCTATTCCTGAGGCTTAATGTCCCCTCATCCTTTTCATTTCGCCATCTCGGTTCAGAGCGCGACTTCCCCTCCTACGGAGTCACACCTCAGAATCCCTCTCACTCTCAAATTCGTCCTTTGCTGTTTTCCTAACCTAAACAATCATGAAGAACTACTAAGTCAGGCCTGGTTGGTGTGGCTCAGTGGACTGAGTGCCAGCCTGAGAACCGAAAGGTCACAGGTTGGATTCCCTGTCAGGGCACGTGCCTGGGTTACGGGCCAGGTCCCCAGTTGGGGGCATGTGAGAGGCAACTGATTGATGTATCTCATGTTTTCCATGTTTTTCTTCCTCTCTCACTCCCTTCCCTTCTCTCTACAAGTAAATAAATAAAATCTTTAAAAAAAAACAACAAACTACTGACAATCCTTATAACAATAAATGTCTGGAGTCCATCCTTAATGCCCTCATATTAAGCCCTTCGCATTTTTTCACCTGAACTACTGCTTGTAATGATCTATAAATTGGTCTCAAGAGCTCTAATCTACTTTCTGAACCTGGTTATAAAAATAGAAGGGTTTAATGCAATCATTTTGTAAAGTAAAGAACAACACAAATCAGCTGGAATGCCACGAACCAGAGGCTGCCACCTGCAATAGTTAACCGTTTGTCTAAAATACGATTAATAAATACATAGATGCTTGCTCTACAGAAATACCGTAATTTAACCCATTCCCCTATTGTTGTGAAATATATCTGTTCATATCACTCTTAACTCCCTTTTCTAAAATTCTTTGAGAGTTCCCCACTACTTGTAGGGTTAAGTATAAGCTCTAATCAGGTGGCATTCACCTACTTTCCCAGTCTTATGACCTGCAATTCCAAGAGTATTTTCCTTGCATAGGCTTTCTTTGCTGCCTGACACTTCTATCGGCTATGCCAACTCCTCGAATCCTAAGACTGCTCAAATGTCGCCTCTTCTGTGAAATGTCCCTAGTTTCTGTCCTCTGGACTCCACTATGCCCTCCCCTTTGTAACTTTGGTAGACACCCCTTCTATGGTCTGTATTGTTTTACCTGCTCCTGGGAGGCCCTACAAGTACAAACTGGAATACATTTTTGTGTTCCCGTATCTAACACATTGCCTGCTACGTACCAGGCATTCAGTCTTTGCTTGTTGAAAGAGTAGTTTTGAAAAACGTTAACTTCAGATTCAATAACTTTTTCTGAGCATGTTCAGTCACTATTAACACAGAACACCTAACAACATCACCATACAGGTGACGTGAGCCTATTTTTTGTTTTCTAATTATTAAAGCAAAACACCCCTTAAACTGGGTCAGCACCTACTTTATATTTTATCCCTCATAAATACAATGTTGAGCTAAAGGCCAAAAAAAAAAAAGTATACTGTTCGACCATTTATATAAACTTCAAACACAGGAAAAGAAACTCGCTGTTTCAGAAGCTAGGATAATGGTTTCCTCTGGGGGCATGGTACAGGGCAGTGACGGGGCGGGGGACAAGAGGAAGTCCCCCGGAGTGCGAGAGGTCTCTCCTGGGCCCGGGAAGTGTTCAAGCAAGTGGGTTCGCTGTGTGACACTTAACGATTTGTGCCGTTTTCTGTTATGTATCCACAAACTAAAAGAGTTTCTGAGACTTTTAAAAAATTGAGTCTATTTACTAGTCATTTCTGTTGCAAACAACAATTTTTTTAAACCAAATAACCAATTTTCACATTGCTTCATCTTTTCTATATGTAAATGTTACTGAGAAAAAAATCTACATGGGGGTTTCCTAATTTGTTAACTTCCTTTTATGTGGCAAAAAGAGTGGTGGTTGACTCTACGGTATGCTTGTTCTCTCCCAAAAATGTTTCTGTCCAGTCGTACCAATAAAATTCTTCCACTTTCCTTTATTAAAGGAAAATTTCAGTATACTATAAAATGCTCTACTCAAATTTCAACCTGAGGTTACCTCAGATGTGCAATGTGTACCTGCACAAACTGAATGTGGTCATCATCACTGCCAAACACCTCAGCCTGTCCATCTAGTAGGTTCCCATCAAGCAGCTTGTGATCAGCTGAGTAGTACAAGGTTTGAACCTGCAAAACAGCAACAGAACACCCATGTGGCTACTGTCTCCATGGCTACACCACTGGTGCGCAGACCACACGGCCGCCTCGAGGTAACCTCCGCTGTGCTGCTTGGGCTTCTTGACATCTTACTCTGGAGGATCCCGGAGTAAAGAAAATACATGTCATAGTTGTAAAAATTTAAAAAACAAAAAGAAAATACAGAATCTTCTAAGCCTGGCTGAAGAGTCTTTGGCTTGACGGGCATGAAAGAGATCTTCATTTTTTCTCATAGCTTCTATTATATAGCATTAAGAAAAAAAGGCACTAGTACAGTATATGAGGTCTTAAAGATATACACATTTACAATAAAATGCTGGATATAGTTACACCTCTAAGGATAAGTGGTCTAATTTGCATAAACATATTTCTGCCCTGTAGGCAATGTCAAGAAAAACATGAAAAACAAATTCAAAAATTTAAACAAACTGTAGAGATACTTCCCTTAACAGATGCAAATATAGGGTGAATGCATCTGATTTTCAAGTGGAAAACCATGTAGAGCTTAAAGGTCACCTGCTATCCTTTTCAGAACATAACGATAACCGTGTTTCTGAAGGCCTAGCGGATGGGTGAGCCATTCGCGAGCCTGAAAGGCCTACGTGGAGGGGTCAACTCGAGGTCCCTCCACTGCTCCATCTGCCTGTATTGAATCCCCACTGTTTCTCCATTAATTGTTTTCTTGCGTGTTTTTTAAAAGCCCAAGTTGAGTTGACTATATGTATGAACACCACCATTAAAAAACACAAAGCTTTAAAGATAGGAATCCTGTAAAGGAGTAAACACCATTAAATCATCATGGTTCTCTGCCCACAGCAGATTTTTCTTAGGAGAACTGGGGCAGGACTGCTGCTTCTTTACGTGTCAATACACTTGAGGTTTCTTCTTGTTTCTTCAGTCTTGGGTATCCTAGTTTTGTTAATAAACCTATGGGGAGATAAACCAACGGGGAGGAACAACCATTAGAAGCTTTTACCTACTTGTCAATTTTAAAGCAAAAACCTGTGAAGAAAACTTAAGAATCTACAGAAAATTTCAGTGTACCACCTCCCACTTCTAAAGCAAATTACATGCTACTTTAAAGAAAGTTAATAGCACATAATAAGCAAAGAAATTTAAAAAAGAGAAGCAGAAGACCAAACTGAACAGTTCATTCAGCTCACCTGGACACCCCCCCTGTTTCTCAGCTTAGGGGTACCTATAGCAAAATTTAAATTCTTTAGGGTCATGGTTATAAAATAAAAGTGAAAGGGAATCCTTCATGTTATAGCAAAATAATTTTTAAGAATTGTTGAATCCCATTTACTTTAAAACTGACCTCTTCCATCAGCTCTTCCAGAGTGTCTCCATTCTCCCAGATGCTACGCTGCACCCAGTTGATTACCTTTGTATACAATTTGCCATTGCTGGGCAAGCAAACATTATCTTCAAGCATTACCTCCAACTAGAGTTGGAAAAAAGCAGTAACATATGGATCAGTGTTGACCCTCCAATTTTCAGCTTCATTCTCAATTTCATAATAAAGCTGTCAATAAAGATGCCCCACTGCATTCCACACATTTACTCTACCTTGTAAATCAGAATTAAGAACCAGTAGCCAAAAAACAAAGAAAGTAAACAAACTCGCTGTCAGAAAACCATTGCACTGCTATAAATAACAGTATCGTGTCAACATACTGTCTTTTTCATAGCCATTACTCGCTTGCTCAAAACATGGACAAAGATTCTGTGCCTGGAACTAAGTATTATGTATCTATAGATTTTACTCCTCACCTTTAGCCGTGGAAGTTTAAGAAACTCTTCCTCTTCTGAAATTTCTAACAAATGCTCCTGAATATAAGCATCAACCTTATTCAACAAACGCGAGTCTCCCATACAACTTGCAAAGTTTCGGTAAGAGATGCAGCTGGTAACATCCATTCTAGACAGTAAATAATCGCCACAAACCTTGGAGAACACAAAAGAGTGGCAACATTTACATATATTTTATTGAACAAAAACATTTAGTATCCAATGTGTAAGCATTATGTGAGGATAAGAGATGAATAACATCACTACCATAAGAAAACAAGTTAAAAGAAACAATGCATGCTAACAATAATCATCAAAGAATGCCACCCAAATGTGTAAATTGTTTAAAGAAAACAGTCAATAAACTGAGCTGCTATGATAATGTATAGGAGGTGTTAAGACCAGTAGTTTTCAACTGGAATAATTGGGCAGGGCTTCATGAAGGCAGTATCTGAGCTGGGCTCCGCAGGACAGCGGACAACGTGGAACACAGGTACAAGTATGGGAGATGTTGCCAACAATTCAGCTGGGCTGGAGCAGGGATGAGTAGGAAATAATTTTGGAAAACCAGCCCCTACGTTAGGGAGGACCTGGTGCTAACTGGAGGGATGTGTGCTCTCAGCCATGGAGGCAGAGGAGCGCCCTTTGAGAGGCCAGGACACTTTCTTAAAGGACCAGGTAGTGAAGTACTGTAGGTTTGTGGCCCACATGGCCTCTGTCGCAGCTATTCAGCCATTACTAGAGGTGGAAAGTGGCCACAGACCTTATGTAAATGAACGCTAGGTTCCAGTAAAACTTGATAAAAACAGGCAGCTGGCAGGAGGGTTGCAGTTTACTGACCCCCACATTAGCAGATTAAATGCTTTTCTTCCTATGAATTATTAAGCACTTCTCAATGGTGTTAAATTCTAGAAGGAATACTTTTAAAGAACCCAGAAGAGTAAGAGCACAAAGAATTGCTCTGGCCAGGTAGCTCAGTTGGTTAGAGCATTGCCCTGATACACTAAGGTCACAGGTTCAATCCCCGGTCAGGGCACATACAAGAATCAACCAATGAATGCATAAATAAGTGGAAAAACAAATTGGTATTCTTCTCTCCCTCAAAACAGTAAGTAAAAACTAAAAAAGTAAGAGAACAAAGAATCGGGGTTATGTGATTAATTTTAGAAAAACAAGTATGTATTTTTTTGCATTAATACCTGATTTTAATGATCAGGTTGAAGTTTTCTTTAAATTAGAGTGCCAAAATGGAAACTTCGACTAGTATAGTACTAGAAAAGCCTGAGTCCCTCCAGATGGCAAAGGCATAGAGCCGCATGGTTTTTTCCACCCAAAGTTCACCTGAGCACTTTCCTCTCTCCTACACATAGTAGATTCTATTTTTTCATTCTTTTTTATTTATTGTTGATCTGTTACAGTTGCTCTCCCCTGCTCCATCCCGCTCCCACAGTGAACAAATGTGTGTTTAAATCATGTTATCAAGGACCGGCACAAACCACCTGCCCGGGCAGACTGCTGGAAGAGCAGGCTCCAGCCCATGCCATCTGAGAGGAGGTGTGACCTTGCTACAATACTGTAAGCCACAGTTAAAACAGCATATTCAGTTCCCTGGGGGAAAAAAGACACTTTCAAGCTCTTAAAACTAACAAATGACAGATTACGCGTTTTAATCATAAGATTCCCTGACAACGGCAGGCCTTGCGTGTTACTTCTGGTACTCTACCTGCTTTACTCGGTCCATCTTCAGCTTTTTGGCTGCAGAATAAACATCTTTTACTAATTCCTTATCAGCTTTCAACCTATTAAAAAATAAAAGTTCTTTATCATTTCACATACCAAGGCCTTAAAACTGGTTCCTAATTTAAATACAGAGAAACCAGGAATTTCCTGGTGAGATTCCCTAATGATATGAATTACTTCAAAGAACTCACTGTGCAGTGTAGGCATAGTTCAACAAGACTTCCACAGCTTCTGGGTTGAGATCATCAAATTTAACATGAGAAACTCTATGAGGATCACTGTCATTATTAAAGATTTCAAATAAATAGGGACTGCAGCAAGCCAGGACTGCTCTGTGCGCTAACATCTCGTGGCCACACACCTGGAATGATGAGGAAATAAAATCAGAAATAGTGCGGACTATGTATTTCTCCAGCTAATCGCTTTTTAAAAGTTACTTCATTAAATGCCTATGAACGAGAAAATAAGCAAATCCAAGATTCTATATCTTTTAGTAATAAAAGACCTATTCTGTAAGTTTCCAATTAAGTTTTCACTACCTGAAGTCGAACATCACAAAACTGGCCACTTTTCCTCAGGGCGTTCAATTTGGCAACAGAAGACTCAATGAAATTTTCATCTTCAAACATTAAATATCCATTGGGAATCATTTTTCCTTATAAATTTGGCTGAAGGGCAAAAAGAAGCTGAGTTATTTTACTTGTGAATGGTGACTTTTGTATTTTAAAGAGTAATACAGTATCTTTATTTTGAAATTCCATCCTGTCTACGACAGAAACATGATCATACAGAAACAGTACTGAAGCAGCACTGGCACGGAGTGGCCGCGCCTTGGTACCCCTGTGCTTGGCTGGTCTTTTCAAGGGTTCACAGAGTAGTGGGCATCTCAGCAATTCTGGCCGCTTCCCCGTCTATTAACATCCACTGCAAAGAAAGGGAGAGAACGTACACCCAGCCTCTCCACGCCCACTCCGCGAGCAAACCGAAAGCCCCGACAGCTGGGAGCTGGTCCTCCTGTGTCCGCTTCCTTTTGGCTGCTTCATTCCTTCACCCACAAATGATAAAGACTGCCATATAAGATGAACTTAAATTTTGTTCCCTTTGCAGGTTCAGTATATTCTAAATCACTTATAAAAATATGTGACAGAAACTTCAGTTGTTTTAAAGTTTCCATTTCACCTTTTCTTGTGAACAAGTGACTAATGGGCTACATAGGATACATCATTAAAAAGCAATAATAGGAGATTTCAGTTTGAAGTAACTTATTTATTCAAATTCAAAATAAAAGAAAAAAATAGAAAATTTTTTTTTTTACTACAAACGATTACTGATTCACCTTTTAAAAACTTATGAAAGGCTGTTAGTGTACTTGGTGTCTTAATGGTGCATTGGGCAATGAATATTCACTTACCTACTACACTGGTGAGAAATGTACTTCTGGGACTTCTTAAATAATCCAAGACAAAGGAGTGTTAAAACTCAGCGCTTCGTTGAGGTATGAAGACGGTTGGTTGAAGTGAAGGCAGAGGTGTTTTAAGCTCCAATGGTGATTCCAAAACTATCAGGCTTGGAAATGATGTAATCAAGTCCTTAAAAGCTATAGACATGAATTTCTTCTGTGATAATCATGCATCATAATCTGTAATAATGAAAAATCTTAGATAGTCAAAAGGATCAAGGACTGTTATTGATATGTAGATCATACTCCCAGGTCTTGATCTTGAGGAGATTTTGATATAAATGGCACAGAGAGAGAAAATAACACAAATGTGATTATATGGTATATAAATATTTTTTATTTAACCTGCCACTACTCAGGTAATCAAAAACAAACAGACTAACCTCCCCCAAAGGCAAAAGGCAGGAGGAGCTAATAATATTTATCATTTAAGTGAGATATATAAGCACAAGATTATAGAACAAATACAGGGCCCAGCAGAAATAACGCCTGCTTGAGTGTGGTTGGTAGGATAATAATACGGGTGTAATAATTTATAGCTTTAATTTAAACATTTCATCTAAATTGTCATATAGTGTGCTTGAGTTACAGAATTAAATGCTTATGATTTTTGTAATAAAAAAGGGGTTATTTGTGCTGGACCCAGTATAAATGCTGATTAATTCTATTCTTTACTATTGGATTCCAATTAATATGGAAACACGTGATCCTTCTGTTTTCATCAGCCAGCAAGCAACTTGGGCATCATTCCCAGACATGTACACAATGTTACCGTCAAACCAGATACGCTGTTCTCCAAAATGTGTCTGCCTCTGTACCTTCTTGTAATATCCTTAACCCAACCTCTGCCAGATGATATCTTACCTCTCTCTACAAAGCCTCTGCCAAATCCCCCCAGGTTAAGAAGCAGCTTCTCCACATACTGAACCCTCTCTGAAAAGTATCGGGCGGTCTTCCAGCTGACCTGTTCTGGGCTGAGAGTCTGTACACCTGCTTATCTTCTGTGGTTCAGGGCCCCCTGAAGGGAGGGCCTCTGTCCTGTCTTTGTTTCTGTCTCACCCACCCCCTACGGAGACAACATAGCCAAAAACTTGAAGATCCACCTGAACTGCTTTTACACCACTAATTCAGGAAACCAGAACAAAGAAAGTATTTGAAAAACATGCATATTTGTAAGTGGACATCTTAAGATTACCCAGCCTTTCTTTATACATCAGTCAAACCCACAATTCTATATCTAACAATTTTGTTAAGGTAAATAATCATTGAAGTCTGGTCCAGTTCTAATTCGACAAACCTACTGTGTTAAATTCGCACAATCTCTAAGAGTAGGACCGCCACTGCCCCAACTGTATAACCTAGGCCTTATTTCAAGGAAACCTGAATATTCTTCTGACTCAGTTGGGATTGTTGTCAATGTCTACCCCACAACAAAACTATATCATACCATCATGCAATGTTGATTTCCGCTGCTGTATACTTTCCTCTAAATTAGTTAACTCAGCTTTTCTTAAGAAACCAGGTCTAACAAAATACATGTTTTTCAAGTAACACACAATTCTCTATAAAGGACACACTCTATCTCCTAAAGAAACTTTCAAACGTTCTTAGCCAAGACCCAGCCCAAATTAAGAAAATCTTTGTACATGTGGCATATGCAGGGATGGCCCATCCGCACTCGCGGGTCGTTACCTCCTCACTTCAGTTTCATAAGCTGCTCTTAAAACAGGGGTGGAAGGGGAACCTCCATGCAAGTTCTGTTGATATGATTCAAATGTGCCCTTTGAAAAACCAAAAACATTGTGATAATGTAGATTTATAAGCATTTAAAACTTTGACCAGTTTTTACATAGTATCTATTTGTAAACTAGTCTTGATCTAAAAATAAAAATGGCATCTACTTGCATATGATAAATCGGAAGTTCTACCTTAAGTTTATTTTTAAAAACAAAAGCAGATGGTTGAAATCACTTGAGTCCTTTGGGAGAGTGTGGAAAATTTTTGGAGCAAATCTTGGCATAGAAACTTGTACAGTATTATTAGTTTTGCAAATAAAGTGAGTCCTACTACATTTAGCACTTGATGATTTTCTAGCACATCAAGATCTTAGTATGAACTTCATCACTTTAATGTCTACTCATCAGTACAACCCTACCTGATTTTAAAAGCCAATCCGAGTCCACCTGATGTTTAAGTTAATGCAGCAAACTTCCTCTATTCAATTACTGTTCTTATACGTGTTCCTACTCTCACCCACCCCCAAGTTAAGGCGTCACAGCAGCTCCTGCCTACAGAAACATGTCTTTGAAAATTCACATTCCCTTTCACTACGGTAAGACCGGGCAAATTGAGAGTTTTAAACTAATCCAAAAATTCACAGAGAATCTTGATTTTGTTCTGTGAAACTCAATAACTGGTGGAATAAAAAAGTACAAAGGGAAATTTTTTTCCTTTGAAAAGCCAAACCAGAAGTTGACATTTAAAATATACATTTGACTAATTCACTTTTAAAATTAAAACTGGGTCAAATACAGTATTTTCTGGTAAATATATTCCAGTTCCTTAATATGGTCAGTGCAAGAAAGGGAGACAGAAAGTTCATAAATGAGTAACTAAACTTCTTTAGTAACATCCAGAAGTTTACATGTTACCACAGCCCCCAAAAAGATTGCCTTAACTGAAATACAGGTCTTATCAAAGAGTGAAAAAAAGGTAGGCAAGACTCCCTCAAATTTTTCTTGGGCCTTCAGCAAGAAAAAGCAAGATCAAAGCTTGTCATCAAACTTTCAAAGCATCCTTAAAACTTCAAGGCAAATCACAAACATTATTTAAGCTTTAAAGCAATCTTTTGAGGGCAACCAACTCACACAAAACAGCAATCAACTCCCATTTTTTTTAAAGGACTTTATAATAATACAAAGTAAACCAAAGAATCTTTTAAAAGCAGAGGTGAATAGGTTCCCAGTATCACCTCTGGAACTATGATCACCCTCCACATCACCATCCACGTAAATCAAGTCACCAGACAGACTTTCTTGGCCCTATGCTTTTAACCTCATTGTTCTGTAATTCTTTTATCCCACCAACATTTATGGCACCAAACATATGGCAGGCACAATCTTCCGTTCCCCAGCCTTGAACACTATGCAAACCAACCAGAGAGAGAGAGAGAGAGAGAGAGAGAGAGAGAGAGAGAGAGAGAGATAATCCAAGCAGTGAAGATAGGTCAAACAAAAAAAAAAAAAAGGAAAAAGGTATGACAGTACACATATTCCAGAAACTGCAGCCATTTCTGTTTCAAAAGATTGTAGTTTGCAGGATGCATTTGGAAAATAGTGGGAGAGGAAGTAAGAGCGATCAGCACTGGGTTTAAACAATGCTGGAGAGCTAAAAAGGATTTTAGCAAGAAGCATAGGGCACTAGCAGAAACATGCGGATGGTCTGCAGGAATGGCCAAAGCACGGAAGCAGGAAAATTAAGTACAGATATTATATACCCATGCTTATCTGCAGGCAGTAAGGATATTTTAGCTTGGATATGTGGCATCATTATCAAAACCAATATCCAAATTATAATTATAAGAAGCCTAACAGTCATTTTAGTTTGCTGCATGCTCAGAGTTAGGAATAAAGGAAGAGAGGAATTTGCTTTGGGACATTATAATGTTCAGGTACCTGGTAGGCATTCAGGTTGATACCACAAGTGTCAGAATACTGATCTAGGTATAGGTTCAGCAGTCATCTACAAGATGGTAATTGAAGTTGATAACTAAAAATAAGCATGTATTTTCTGTGGTTCTAACAAAAACAAAACCCCAGAAATCACTCCCTTAATTACTCCATTTACACTCCAGCACAAAAAGGTGGAAGGATCCCCAACTTCGAAGAATTCCTTCTTGTAGATTTGACTATATAATCATAATGTTGAAAAATCAATGAAATTATTTTTAGGAGTAATTGATCTTAGTAACAATGATTAAAACATTTGCTTAACAAGAAAACTTTTACATCAAAAAACACTTATTTGCAAAAACCACATTCAATTGCCACTTAAAATATTTTTAACACAAGGAAAACAAAACCCCACCCCAAAATAAGAGTCCAAAAAACACTAACTTAAAGCTAAATCAAAACCTGGAATGTTTTAAGGGGAAAAGTTAGAAAAATAGAACTACAAATTAAAATAAAGAAATTTGTATCTATTAATCAGAGATGTCCTCTACTAAGAAAACCCAGAGGAAACCATTCCGGGTCTCTTTTTGGTCATTGACTCTAGTCCGTTTTACAAAACTCCAGCTACTAAATTATAGACATTTGTTAAGTACCCTGGCCAGACGACATTAAATGTTACTGTTCTCAATCCCATTCTAAATAGTCAATGTTTGCCTCATCTTGATATACAAATACAACAGCTCCTTAGCGTCTTTAAGCCAGAAGTTTCGTCAGCAATATTATGCCTACAAACTATTCATTAGTATTTTGTTTTCCTTAAATCAACCGCCAGAGCTAGAATTATTAAAAGAAAATATAGTCTGATCCACGCTGTACTTGTTCAACTGTTACGAGTAGTACTAGTCTTCCAAAGTTTTTATAACTAGCCAGAAGATCCACATACAAGTGAGGCCCGGGTGCTCTAATCTCCATCACTAGACATTAGGAAACAAAAATGCGCCCTTGAGGCATCTGACTTCTACTTGCTATATTTTTCAAAAGTCAGCTGTCTCACACAAAGATCTGTGTGCGGCGTATTGAAGAAAAGTAAATCTATTTCTAAAGTGTTTGTGGTTCAAGTTTCCCTGTGTTCAACTCAATCCGATACCCTCCTAAGAGCTTATAACCAACCAGAGACCCTTTGCAAGATGCGTAGAAGGTCGGAAACCAGCACACCTCCCCGCCGATATCTTTTGTAAAAGAAAAAAAGAAACAAAATAAAATAAAGACAGTGGCGAGCGCCCCAGAGTGACTGGTGAGCCTTGCAGCCCCAGGCCGTCCTCCGCGCGCCGCGGGGTCGGCGCCCACTCCACAGGCTGCGAGGCAAGGCGCCCAGCGCCTGCACACCCCCGCCCGGGATTGGCCGGCCCCGCAGTCATTCAGCGCCGACACGTCAGGGCAGCCGCTCCCTCCCTCCTCCCGCCCCCTCTCCCCGCGCTTGGCAAGAAAAGCGGGCAACGTGGAGCGGGAACAAAGGACCCCGCGGCCCACGGCGATCAGGGACGCGGTGCCACCTCACTCCAGGCCCGGGACACCAATGCGGCCCGGGGCCGGCTCCCCGCCCACACGCGCTAGTCCTGGGAGGTCTCTCGTTGGAGAGTCCAGACCTGGGCAGACCCACACACTAGGCGTCGGTCTGACAGCGGGAACGGAGATTCCCGCGTCCTCCTTCCGACAGGTCATCCCCGCCCCACAGCCCCGACTCCGGCCCCCCGAACAGGAACGTCTCGTTCCTACCGCCCCGCTCCCTCTGCTCCAGCTTTCTCCGAGGCTGTTGGCACCCGCCTGAGGCCGCCAACGCGACCCAGCAACCATGGCAGCGCCCGGAGCAAAGGGCCCGCACGGCGCCCGCCTCTCGCCCTCAGAGGGTAGCAGCGGCTCGGGTGTTCCTCCCCTCGGGATCGGGACACCGATCCGCGCCCCCCACCTTCTCCGTGGCCGCCCGCGCCATCTCTCAGCTCGGATTCCGGCCGCGCCCTCTTCCTCCACCCTCGTTGATGGGAATAGCGATTATTACCTGGTTCATCTCTGAAGAGATGGAAAAACTCATCTCTGGAGCTTCGAAGGGGAGCAGCAGGAAGCGGGCGGGATCAGGCCCAACGGAAAGCGCCTCGAGGCCGCGGAGGGGGGAAGCGATCGAGCGGGAGGACGCGCGGTCAGTGCACGGAGGTTGCGTGGAGAGGGGAGCGCCACCGAGTGCTCGCGTGGACTCGCTCGCTCGTTCGCTGGCACTGCCGCGCTGAAGCACCAGGCGGAGAAACTGCGCCCAGCAGTCCCCAGCAACCGACCTCCACGCGCGTCCCAGAGACACTGCCGCCACCGCCGCCAGCTCGCGCCGAACCCCCTCGCACGTCACCACGTGCGCCGCCGCCAACGCCTCGCGGACGCTTCCGGCACGAATCTGTACGCCAATCACAGGCGAGCACCAGAAAGGATGCAGGCGGAGGCCCCGCCCATCCCTCCCCGCGCCCCGCCCTCCTCCCTCGCTCTCTCTAGTTCCTTCCAGCACCGACGAAGTAGGTCAACGCAAGGTGATCCCTGGGAGAGAGACGGTGCTCTGGGTGCCCCTCCTTTTACTTCCCGCACCTTCTCGTCGCCCTTTCGGACCGTCCGGGAACTGGTTCCCTCCAGCCGTCCTCACCTGTTCTGCCTCCCGCTAGGGGCACAGCGGCCAGGGAGATCACATGGGGGAGATTAGATTTCTCCGCGTCAAACTTAACATCTAGACAACTGCCCTTGACTGGAGCTGGCCGCAGTGCACCTTGTGGAGTTGTCCTTGGCCCTTACCTTTGTTGGTGGGTGGTGGTGTGCAGGCAGGAGGCAAAGAGATTGTCAGGAAGAAGAGGCAGGTTGAGAGAAGGGGTGCGAGGATTCAGTAACTTGAGGGAAAAAAAACCAAACGATTGGCAAGGTCTGAGAAGACATGACAAATACACGCGTTGCTATAAAAACCTGTTTACTCCTACGTTTCTTCCCCTTCCCCTACCCGCCCCGAGTTTCTGTTTTGTTGAGTGCGAGTGCAGCTGTAAGCTCTCGGAGAACACTGAGTGTGTTCTTGGCTGGTCGTCCCCTCTTTTGGAGATAGAAAGTAGTGTTGAGAATCGGTAGCCCCTATCTGAACCTTCTAGGGCCTTCTAGACCAGATGGCAAAGGGAATCGTCGACCCCACCGCCTTGCCCCCGGGAGGCAAGCCTGTTCAGTGAAGCGTGCTGTACCTTGGGCTCTGAAGGGCAAGCTGGGAAGTTCCCTGGATTGAAAGTGAGGGGATTTTGTGAGGTAAACTTGTTTAGAGTTTGGCAAAGGCTTCCAGGTTAATGTTTTGTTAGCTTTTCCTGGTTCCCAGAGGGCACTTAAGGGGTCTAGGCCTACCTTTGTTTGTGTTTGAGTACTCAGCTTGATTTGTAGACATTTCTAGGAACTCTCTGTCAATGCTTCCTACCATTCTTTATCATTAATTTTTTTAGCTTATGCCCCTAGGAGCAGGAAAAACAAATGCCGGGGCGCTTCATCTGCAACAGAAGCCTTACAATGGTCTGTTCTAAAATCTTGAGGCAAGGAGACTTGTTTCCTTTTTTTTTTTTTTTTTTCCAATTCAATTGACGGGAATTAAGATATTTATTACAATGATTCTTATTCTTTTCTAAGGAGAAAAAGACTGACATTTGCCACTAGGCTCTTCTTTTTTAATAACGGACAGCAGTATTCACTTGTATTGCAAATGAAACTGCTGGAGTACATGCATACCTTTTAGGTTCTTTTAGTACCATGGACTTCATACTTCCGGCGAGAGAGTATGTATTGCCTGCTTAGGGTAAGCATGTGACTGTGTGGTTTGCTGCACACTTGGTCCCATTTGCTGTACTCTAAATAGTGCCTTTGTGACCTGAAATAGCCAGCACTTTTCTTAAAGCTACAATGTGATCAGTCAGTGCATCTTTACCTTGTATGAAATATCATGTATTACATTCCCTATAAATGATGACCTAATTTATGCATTCCATTTGTCTTCCAACCATCTTCCAGACAGTTAAACCTATCTATCCAATGACTATGAAATCCAGATGAAAACTTCAAAATAGAACATGGTAGGTAATTTCAACTTTATAAAGTAACAAATTATTTTGTGAGATTTTGCTCTTAATATTTGAATTAGACAAGGTATATTTGGAGAGTGCTTAATAAAAATAAAAACTATCCACTATTTTATTTATATTTAGGCACTAAGAAAGATAAAGATTGGTACCAATTTGCAATCTTTCCATTTTCCTCTCTGTTAGTGCTTCAAATGTTGTCCCGGTCTAAAACTCTGGCTTTTATTTTATTCTTTATGTATTGATTTGGTAGGGCTATAGTAACAAAATACCCAAAACTGAGTTGTTTAAACAGACATGTATTGTCTCACAGTTGTGGAAGCTACGAGTCTGAGGTGTCTGCAAGGCTCTGCTGCCCCTGGAGACGCCAGGGAAAGTTCCGCTAGGCCTTTCTCCTAGCTTCTGATAGTTCCTTGGCTTGCGGCAGCGTAGCCCCAAACTTTGTGTGGATTTTTTCCCTGTGTGCCTTTGACCAAATTTTCCCTTTTTATAAGGACACCAATCAATCATATTCGATTAGTGCTGCATCCTAACCCAGTATGACCTCATCTTCTGAATTTCCCAGTAAGGTCACAGTCTGAGGTAGTAGGGGTTAGGACATCCTCTGAATTTTGGAGGGACATAATTCAACTCATACCACTTTAGTTTAGTGTTTCTCAAGTGTGGTCCACGGACCACATTTGTCAAAATCCCCTCAATGTTCTTTTAGAAATGAAGGTCCCTGTGCTTCACCCGAGACAAGTGATTTTCAAAGGAGAGGAGTGCTTTTTCCCCTGGGGGCCATTTCACAGTCTTTGGAAACAATCTTTGGGGCAAACAGTCTCCTAGTATCTAGTAGGCATAGTGCTGTTAAACATCCTGCAATGCACAGGACGTTCTGCCCCAGCAAAAAGTGATTCCACCTTAATTGGCAATAGTGTCAAAGCTGAGAAACCCTGCTCTAAAACTGCTAAATGAGAATCTCTAAGAAAGAGGCCTGGAATCTATGTTTCGCCCATCATCCCAACATCTTGTACCCACACTAAAGTTTGAAAAGTGCTGAATCCCCAGATGAGAAGAAACTAAAGGAATTCATCACCACCAAATATTTTCCTTTAAGAAGAAAAAGGAAAAAAACGATGAAAAATATGAATAATAAAATGGTGACAACTACATACCTATCAAGAATTACTTTAAATGTAAAAGGATTAAAAGTTCCAATCCAAAAATGAGGGGTAGCTGAATGGAGAAGAAATAAGACTCATACACATGCTGTATACAAGAGGCTCACTTCAGATGGAAGGACACACACAGATTGAAAGTAAAGGGATAGAAAAAGGTATATATATCATGCAGATGGAACTGAAAAGTGGAGGTAGCAATAATTCTATCAGACAAAATAGACTTAAAGCAAAGGATGAGAGACAAAAAAGGACATTTCATATACAATAGCCAAGATACGGAAGCAACCTAAGTGTCCATCAACAAATGGGTAGATAAAGAAGATGTGGTACATATGAATATTGCTTGCCATAACAAATGAAATCTTAATGACCTAGAGGGTATTAAGCTAAGGGAAATAAGTCAAACAGTGAAAGACAAATACCATATGATTTCACTTACCTGTGAAATCTAAAAAACAAACAAAAAAAGAACAAGCAGAACAGAAACGGACTTAGAGAGAACAAATGATGGTTGCCAGGGGTGGGGGGTGCAGGTGAAAAATAGGAAGGAATTAATAAATACAAATTAGTCATGGGGATGTAAAGTACAGTATGTACAGTGCCAGGTGGGTACTAGACTTAGTGGGGGGATCACTTTGTAAGATCTATAAGTGTCTAACTAGTATGCTGTACACCTGAATCTAACATAATATTGAATGCCAACTATAATTGAAAAATAATTTTAATTTTAAAAAATAAAATAGAAAACTACAGATACAAAAGCCTTTTCTAAGCATAGGAACATGCCCCATTTCATTCCAGATTTTAGTCCCCTTTCTTATTTATTAACCATTCTAATTATGATGAGTTAAGCTAATTAAATATTGCTGCTTAGCAATTCACACAATTTACAAGTCTTATTCTATTGCAAGTCTTACTCTAACATTAATAGTAAGTTGGAATCTTGTTTACCTTTCAAAACTTCTATGCCCCATTACATTATTTTTAATCAACTGTCTACATTTTCTGGATGTCCTTTGCCTAATGAAAACAGCCTTTCTGTGGCTTGGCAAAGCAGTGCTTCGCCTCCTCCAGTCCACTGGTTCCTCTTGTTTTCTGAGTGACTGACTTGTCTATTTCATGTATTGCTCTCATCCGTTGCAGTCAACGTTACTATTCTCTCAATTTCTTTCTCCTCTGTGGCATTTGAAAATATTTTTAAGTTACATTAGTGTTGTCTTAAGAGTGGAAACAAGAAAATGGTAGTGTCAGAAAAAGCACAAGAACCCAGGGGGAAATCTTAAAACTTTATTAAAATAGGTCATTGGAAATTGTTAGATATTGTGAGGCATAACAAATAGCTTGATGCCTCTCTAAAAAATTGTTTCCCTTTCAGAGACCAATCTTCCACTTTCCTGGTAAGACTTTAGTAAAGACTTTGCACCAGAACATGCCGACTATTCAGATGTTACTTGTTTTTTAAACCAGAGGTTATAAAATTAGAATACTTTTTATCCTGCATTATCCTCACTGGCTATTACATTAGCCAAGCTGACTATTTTACTAATGACCTTTTGCTCATTTTCTAAAGTCATCCCTGCTAAAATTTTTAGAACAACTTTCTTTCAACAACCAAAATCCCTTAATAGTTTCTTTATCATTCAAAAATTTCTTAGGAATTAAAACTTCTCATGTTATTCAAATGTTCTTGCTGTGACATTGTATGACCTTCAAGCTTGCTGCTGCTTTGGACTATGTGGCCAAAACCTAATTGTATATTCAGCTCTTGAATTCTGATGAGCGACCTAAGCTTTCCAAAAGCCTTCATCCAAAAAAAACCAACACCAACACCAACAAAAAAAAAACCCTTTATAAAATCAACTTGATTGCTGAGAGTAGTAAGGCATGGAATAAGCAAACTTTATAGTAAGCTGAGTTTTCAAGGTAAACACTAAAAGCAAATGTATAAACAAAAGTGTGGTAACATATAGCACAATGTATACAGTTTATTCCAGAAAGAGAACTTTTGTCGTGTTGACATCCAAAACTTGATATCTGACGGATGTAAGTTACACAACATAGTTGCATTGGACCAGCCAGCCAACTGTTGCTAGTGTAAACTGA